GCCATTGGATGGCTGCTCACAGCGGCTCATGAAAACTCATGCACTCCCGCTGCTGGCCAGCACCACTGCAGTCTACGCTGTCGCCGGCGACTCACTGCAGCCCAGCTCCAGGTCGAGCTGTTTTTCACCATCCTAGCTATAGAGGGCCCAGCATCACTGGCCCTCATTTCACCATCTTTCTATGTACAAACCAGAGTGTGCAATAACTTCACCACTCCATCATTTCAAAACCTCTTTCAATTACTCACTAATAGCCTTGCTTGTCTGAGAATAAGATAAAGAAGGCATTCTGCATGAAAGCTGGTAGAGGGAGAAGGTTGGCAAGTGTTTGACTGCCTTTTCAGGATGGTCTGAGATTTATACAGATGAGAATAACCACTGAATCCCAAATACTGGCCATGTAGTTTAGGGAACTATAGGGTTGATCTTTATTATGGATAGGGCTTGCAGGATAGGAATTGTATGGCTACTGTTATGAATTATATTGTCTTTGGTCATTCTAGCTGGTCAAGAAGAGTGACAATTTAATGCAAGAGTCTCAGCTCACTAGAGTAAAACCATGAAATGATTTTAGTTTTTCTAATAATTGCCCCAATTATAAAATTGTTGACTACCTTTTTCTTACTGTGATGCCTTTCTTGGCCATTTGACACTTACCAATGTCTTCTTCATGTGTGGGCATATAGATGTACTACACTGTCTAGGAGAGCACAGTACCACAGGCCTCCCTTGGGGATTGTCTAGTTCTTTGTGATGCTGGTGATTGCTGCTGATGTGGTGGTTTCCTGGTATTCATGTATTTAGTTTGCATGTGTTCCCTTCCCTCAAAGGAAGGCAAGAGTCAAAAGCTAGATCAAGTGGGTTTGGTTGCCACTCTAAGAAGTCTGAATTTTTCTTTAAGTTTAATCAGAAAGCTTTGACGGATTTGAATAACATGATCTAATTGTTACTGCAGACAGAAAATTCTATTAAGTCAAAGATGGTCTGTACAGGAGCAGGGGTGGGAGCAGAGACCACTTAGGGGCTGTTGTAGAAGTCTAGATGAGAGATGATTGTGCCTAAGATTAGAGGACTACTGGTGAAACAGCTGGATTCAAGATATATCTTAACTGCGGAGACAATAGAACATACTGGTCAACTGGATGCATGGTGTGAAACGAAACAAAGAGTGAGGTGCAGCCACATCTACACAGCAGACATTACAACAACTGCAGAAGGTGGGAGAACTTTGGGTGTTCACCTGGGGACAACGATGAGAATAAGCACCAAGTGATATAGTCAGAGGGTAGGAACTTCAAAACAGAATACAAAGCAAAATAATGTTGGCAGAATAAAGCTCCATCCTTCCTCTCTGACCCCTTGAGTCCCTGTGGGACTCATGTCCTCTTCCCTGTGAAGGGGAAATTTATCTGATTTTAGGGAAAGTGGTATCATCAAGTGAAAATAGGTGTCAGGTAAGATGGAATACAAAAGGGCTGGTAGAAGCAAGATAAAAAATCTAGAGATATATTTATAACCTAATGATACTGGAGATCCCTAGGAAATGAGGATATTAAACGAGGCCAAAGGATGAGAATGTTGGATGAAATAGCATGAAGGGCCCTCTGATTTTACTGTAAGGTAAAAGCTATCATGGAAAATAGACTGAAGTCACGTGTTGATAAGGGAGGAGAAATACTGAGCAAGAAATTTGGTTTAAAGGCCAAATAATAGAATTTACCGGTGCCAAATTTCCCCCTGGAATGTCAGCATCATGGTACAAACATCCTGTGTTGATAGGAGGGCATGGGTGGAGGTTCGCTCTCTGTTTTACAGTTTAACTTGGTGGGTCTTTTCTAATTTATACATTTACTGTTGAGTAATTGTGACATCAGAAGGAAATCATCCAATCATGATTTTCTGCTTTTCTTTTAAAATTTCTCCCCACTTACTATTACTAGTCTTTTAGCTTTTTTCTTCCTACCTACACTTGTGTCTCACTTCTCACCTGATCTATAGGTTACGGTATATTGTACAACACACTAACATTCTAACATCTTATTTTAAGTTTGAAATGGATTTTTGGCAGTTTTTAGATCTAGGATTTTAGAAATACTCAATTGGAATATGTCTCGTCATGAATTGCAATCATCATAACATCAACCTTTCACTTTTTCAGAAAGTGAATATTGCTATCAGGATGACCAGATCATCATGTCACCTTGTGATGTCACTAATGGCATCATGTCTGTATCTGTACAGTGAGCTTCTAGGAGATTTCTCTCTTGTAAAAGATAAAGCAACATCTTCAAATAAAACATGAAATTTGACACAGTTAAACATTATTCCTTCCCTGCTAAGTCTTAACTATTGGTATGTTCATTAAGGAATTCACATATACTGCTGTATTAAGACATATGTCACACTTTGTTTTCAAACCTCACTGTGACCCATGTGATGGGTTCTGAACTTTGAAGTTACAAGATTGAGTCTTCTACAATGTGAAAAGAGGGGAAAAAAGATTATGTAAGAGCAATTTAACTTTGTGGATGGAGAAAATAGTTCTGTCATGTTAGAGGCTCACGGAATAAAGAGCAAATCAAATGTGTTAAATAGCTTTATTGAGAGATGGATTTTCCAATACTAACAGTTCTTTGTACACTTTTTAGCTTTGAAGGAAAGATGGAAAGGGGTTGGCATAAATCAACCATGTTGCTTTGTTAAGTGTTCTTGCATGAAACAAATAGCTTCCAAGATACAAATAATTAGAAACTGTAATGGCAGCCTTCTTTTGTAAGGTAGTTAAGATGAAATAATGCATCTGTATCTGTATTAACAAAAGGCCAAAGACGTGTTGAACCAGCTAACTGGACTTTTTACAATGGATTGGCAAGATAAAGATTGTAGATACCACCTATTGAGGCAGCGACAACCTTCACATGTAAGGTAATACTGCTCCTTAGAAAACTTTACATCTAATTACGTATTCAATATTTACATTTTCATTGTCTCATAGGCTCCCTAAAGGCAAGGATCGTATGCTCAGAATTTTTCACAATGTCTGGCATGCTATAGCCTCTCAGTAAATACTGATTTAAGAATAATCTAATTTTAATTTGGGAACATTAGTCAAGTTGGGAAACTGTGCTACGTAATACACTGGTTTCTTCTGTTAATCAAACTTTAGCTATATAATTGAGACAGGAGTAGGAAAAAACAAATTTCACAAACAACTTAGTCATTTTAATCACCAGTTTCTACCTTCTTTTTCTGCAGCAAACCTTTTTCTAGAGATGATTTTGATCTCCCTTTGGAGAAAAATGTAGTCAATAACCAATGGTTCCAGATAGAAAAGGCTAAGGGCCTAGAAATTAATAAATTATATAATCAGTCCTCAAAGTTTTATGTGTAACACATTTTTGTGTATACTGACACAAATAACATTTGATGTTGTTGGTGGCATAGGGGAGACCCTTGTCACCCAGCTGCTAAAGTAGAAACTGGGCTTTAACAACATACAAACATAACATCAATTAATGCACTAAACATACTTGGTTCAAAGTTAACTATCAGGGATTCCACAAAAGTTCCAAGAGAAAATCTATCAGATACACACATCAGCAATTATCGTGCAAGGAAAAGAAATTAGGCTCTTCTGTCAACTCCTCAGGAGAAAAGTCAAGTGCCTAAACTATGTTAGTCTAAAAGAAAAGGCCAAAGTGACAGACAACAAGCATTTGCTCTGAGATCCAAAAGAATAGCTACTCAGGAAGCAGTGACTGCAGGCTGAAACCCAGGTCATGTTCTGATTAGGGAGTGAAGACAAAGGGCTTTTATGAGAAAGGGGAAGGGAATAATCCCATTAATAGAAGGAATATCTATTGGTGCTAATAAGTCAAAGAGGGAATTTCTGGGGTTGCAAATAAACAAAGTTATTCTTTAGCTGTACACGGTGGTGCTAAAGAATGTCTTGAGAACTTTCAGTCCTGTCGTCAGAATCGTGCTTTGCAAACAGTTGTTTGGAATACCATGTTGCTTTGTCCCAGTCCAAAGGTTATTTTGCCCATTTTAAATACCCCGAAGTTGGAGGAGTGGGACCTGTAAGGCAGTTAGCTCCTCTGAAATGGCAGCTCCAACTCCATTTCCAAGCAACTCTGTTTCTTTTATTTTTCACAGCTAAGATCATCAGGGCCTCCTTGCACAATGCAGTGAAGATTGGGGGCCTAACCATAGATGTTCTGTCCCTTTCATAATCCACTCACTAGGCAGTTTTCCTTTGGCTGCAAAATTGCTTTTGGTTGGATATGAGGAATCCAGCCATGAGTTGCTCAAGATTTCCTCTGGGTTGAAATGGATGGATGCAGGAGTCCTATTTACAAGGACAACCATTTTGCAAACTTTCTAAACACTTTAAAAGAGAAACATCTATAATATGGGAGGAGGGGGAGGACAAGGAGGATGACATTTGTTGAGAACCTACTGTCGGTCACGGAGCAAAGCGCTTTCAATAGTTAATCTTATTAATTTGAACCTACAACATTCTAGCGAGGTAGTGAAAAACCCCAGCTGCAGCAAAAGTAATTGAAAATTACAGAAATTTGGAGACTTGTTTAGTTAAGGGGGAACAAAAGAACTCAAGCCTATGAGTTTTGATGTTGATGCGTGGTGAAGGAAGTTCTGTGTGATAGGGGAGCAGCCAGAACCCGAAATGCTTCCCAAGTGTAACCAGTTAGAAATTAGGACAAAGAATGCAGCGGCAGCAGGGTAATCTACAGCAAAGGAAAAGCAGAATTTACATGCACTTCGCAGCTGAAATTAAGCAATTCCCGGAGTGGGGGTGGTAAAGAGGCAGATAGAGTTCTTTAAGAAACAAGTACGGACATTTTCAGGAGCCCCCACGCTCACTTGGTCCAGGTTACTGTAAGATCAACACACTGGAGGCTCTGTTGCCAACTGGAAGATTGAAGGCCAACAGGAAGCATATGTCCCTCCCCCTGCAGGGCTTTCTCTCTCCCCTCCAAGGCTCCAGGGGACCAAAGGAGCCAGGAGTTGTTTCCTGCCGGTTTCCACTCCTCCCTGAAGGGACCTGGAGGGTGGAGGCCGGGCTTCGCTGAGGGTCGGCATCGGCCAAGTCCTGCGGAAGTCTGGGTGCTCACACGGCCCCGTGCGTGCTCTCTCTGTTTATCTGCAGCCCAGAGGCTCCTTGCAGCAGCCGGCGCTGCAAGCTCAGTCGCGAAGAAGCCATGGCGAAGTCCAAGGGCCGTCTGTACCTTTGGATGTGCTTGGCTGCTGCGCTGGCATCTTTCCTGGCAGGATTTATGGTGGGTAAGTGTACAAACCGCTTCCCGAGCCTAGGGCTGGCGCTCCTCCGCGGAGAAAACTGCTGGGCTCGCCAGGCGAGCTGAGCTCAGTCTCAATCTGGACGGTGAACTCCATGAATTTCAGCCAAACTGGAAACGGAATGGAATGCCTTGGGGCCTTTCTCATAAAGTGTGACTGAAATCCAGACTTGTTGCTCGCTGAGTTCAAGGTACTGTTAAGGGCTGTTTGCAAGACAATCAGGTGTTGTCACTAACCGCAGGGATGAAAACAGTAGATTCAGCTGGAAGCGTTATTCATGCTTGAGTCAAAGCTTGCCAAGAATGTGGGCAGTACTGCAAAAAACTGCCCTTCCCTCATCATTTATTAAATTTAATATTTGTGGAATGCTCCCTGCATGTCAGGCACTGTGCTAAGAACTAGATTCCTTGGGGAGAACAAAAAAGGGGGAAAAAAAAGCCCTTGCCTTGATGAGCAACATGTGGGGAAATGAAAAGAACTCTCATATAAAACTTGTTTTAACCAACTCAAAATTACACCAGAATTTGAAGTTTTCCTGCATTTAATATGAATAGTTTTGTAAAGCTCACCATGATCTATTTCTTAGAGAACGGCTTTTTTTGGCTTGTAGTTCTTACAGTAGTCAAAACCAATGATGTGTGTGTGTGGTGTTTATATGTGTGTATGTGTGTGTTCTCCCCCAGGCTGGTTTCTTAAGCCTCTCAGAGAAACAACTACATCACTTCGATATCATCAAAGTATACGGTGGAACCTGGTATCAGAGATGAAAGCCGAAAATATTAAATCATTTCTTCGGTAAGTTTGTTTTGCATATTTGATCTTAAAAATAAAGTGTTTAAACTATTGCAGAGTGAGAAGTGCTTTCAAATTGGTTATGTTCATGTGGGTAACCTTCCTTGTGTGAAATTATATGATACCACATTCATTTATGGTAGTTTTAAATGTCTGCTTGAACCACTGTTAGGGTAAAAACTATTTGAATGTTGCGGGAGTCTTTCTTTCCTTCATCTACAAAACAAAATGTATCTGATTGCTTTATGAAGAAATGTTTCAACTTCATGTAATTTGGGGCTACACCTGAATGTTATTCTGTATCCCTCATGCCTGGGTTTAATCAGCGATGTTATATAAATATTATGTCATGTCAGGGAGACTTAAATGGTTATAAACTCTGATTTAGAGGAAAGGAGGTAAAAGTTTCAAATTCTGTCTTTCACAAATTAAACTTCTAGCTCATGTTGCAAATATAAGTAACATAAATAGGACAAAATGGAAGCAAAAGAGCCAGTGTAAATCCACCAGTCTCCAAGCATGAAAAAGAGTGATATGTAGGGGAATTTATCAAGAATTCCTTGAAGGTAGTCACTATGACATTTATTTCTATACTCAGACTCTAAAAGGAGTGTCATTAGAAATACTCCAGTTTTATTGAAGTATAATTTACATAAAATAAACCGCATCCATGCAAAGCCTTCAATTTGAGAGTATTGACAGACGTATAATATACTCAACAATCCACATCCTCAGTCACAATACAGAAAATTTATATCATGCCCTTTTCTATTTATTCCTCCCTTCATCCTAGGCCCTAGGCAATCACTGGTCAGATTTATGTCACTATGGATTCCTTTTCATTTTTTCAGAGCTTTACATAAATGGAATCATATAGTCGTGTGCCCATTGGTGTCTGTTTTCATTCTGGCATTCATCCAGGTTGTTGCATGTATGGTAGTTTATTGCTTTTCACTTCTGAGTATTCCATTGTATAAATATGCTGCAATGTGTGGATGGACATTTGGGTTCTTTCTCGTTTTTGATTAGAGTGAATAAAGGTGCTATGAACATATGTTGACAAGTTGTGTGTGGACATGTTTTCATTTTTCTTGGAATGGCTGTGTTGATAAGCAAGTGTTTCACTGTTTAAGAAAATGCCAAACAGATGTTAAAAGTGGTTGTACCATTTTCCATTTCTACCAATCATGTGTGAGTATACAGTGCTCCACACCTTGGCTAACACTTAGTATTGTTGGTTGTTTTAATCTTAACCATTCCAATGGGTGTGTCGTGGCATCTCATTGTGCTTTCAGTTTGCGTTTTCCTGATGTTAAGCATCTTATGTGCTTATTGGACTTTGTGTATCTTCTCTTATAAAGTCTCTGCTTCAATATTTTCCTGTGTGTAGATTGTTTTGTTTTCTTATTATTGAGCTGTAGGACTTCTTTATATACTCTGGATATAATATCTTTGTCAGACATGTATTGTGAATATTCTGTCCTGTGGCTGGCCATTTTTGTTTATTTAGTGGAGCTTTTGAAGGGCAGAAATTTTTAAGTCCAGTTGACCAATTTTTGTTTTATCTTTTATATTCTGTGTACTAACTTTGCCTGTGAGAATTTGTGAGGATTTTCTTCTATGTTTTATTTAATAAGTTTTATAATTTTAGCTTGCAAACATTTAAGTCAGTGATTCCCTTCAAGTCAATTTTTTGTGGATAGTATGAGATAGGAGTTGATGATTTTTAAAACACAATTATTCATTTATTCTCACATTTGTTGAAAAACATTTTCTTTCCCCCATTGAATTGCCTTGGCATCTTGGTCCAAAATCACTTGACCATAAAATGTGTGACCTGTTTGTGGATTTTATATTTTCTTCTATTGATCTCTTGATCTATATATCTCAATCCCACACTATCTTGTTTAGTGTAGTTTCATAGTAAGTCTGATAATTAGGTAGAGTTAATCCTACAAACTTTTCTTTTTAAAAATTGCTTTGACTTTTTTTTTTTTAAAGAATTTTTATTGGGGAACTGGAGGATGGGAACAGCGCTGGGGAATTGGGGGAAGGGGAACAGACAAGTTGCTGTCCTTTTGTTCTTCAGTCTAGTTGTGGAGGACGTTGCTTAACTGGCCCAAGTGGCACCATCACTGCGCTCTTCCCAGGCAAGGCAGATCAGTCGCCAGCTTCTGGACGGCTGCTCACTGCAGCTGCTAGCCGCTCATGCTGGCTGCTGGCTACACACGGTAGCCCTGCTTTGACTATTTTAAGTCATTTGTATTTCCAAATAAATTTTGAAATCCACTTCTCAATTTCTACAAAAAAAAAACCAAAACACAAAAAAAACAAAAAAGCCTGTTGGAATTTTGATTAAAATTGCATTAAATATATAGATGAATTTGGAAGAGAAGTAACATCTTTAAACTACTGGCTCTTTCAGTCCCTTCATTCATTCATCTTATGGATGTACTACAGTAACTCTTCAATGATTGAGGGGCATTGACATTTCCCCCCAGTTTTTGGCTATTACGATTAAAGCTGCTATTAACATTTGTGTACAGCTTTTACTTGAACATAGTCTTTCATTCCTCTGGGATAAAGGCCCAAGAGTGAAAATTGCTAGGTTGTACATTTTAATTTTAGAAGAATCTGTCAAACTACTTTATAATATGGCTGGCATCCTTTTATATTTTCCATTGGTGTTATCACTATTTTAAATTTTACTCATTCTGACAGGTGCACAGTGATACCTCATTGTGGATACTATATCCATTTCCCTAATGACTAATTAATACTATTGAACATCTTTTCCTGTGCTTATTCACCATCTGTATACTCTCTCCAGTGAAATGTCTCTTCATGTTTTTTGCCTGTTTTTATTTGGATAGTTATTTTTTCGTTTTGTGCTTTAGGAGTTCTTATATTTTTCCAGATGAAAGTTTTTTATCAGCTTTGTGGTGTACAGATATTTTCCCCAGTCTATTATTTGTCTTTTCATGTTTTAACAGAGTCATTTGGCGATCATGAATTTTTAATTTTAATGAGGTCCATTTATCAGTTTTTATGAATCATGCTGTTGGGGTCATGTCGAAGAACTCTGTGACTAGCCCTAGATCCCTATTCCCCTCTTCCCCCCTCCGAAATGTTATAGTTTACATTTTACATTAAAGTCTGTGATTCATTTTTACATAAGGTATAAGGTTTGGTTGAGGTTCATTCTTTTGCCAATAGCTGTCCAATGTTTCTAATACCATTTGTTGAAATACTATCCTCTTCCATTTAATTACTTTTGCACTTTTGTCAAAAATCAGAGTGTGTTTCTGGGTTTCTATTTTGCCTTATTAATCTATGTGTCTACTCTCTCTAGTACCACACAGTCTTTTTCATTTATTTAATTAAATTTATTGGGATAATAGTTAATATTATATTAGTTTCAGGCATACAATTCTATAATACATCATTTCTATATTGCATTTTATGCTCACCACCCAGTCGAGTCTTCCATCACCATATATTTGACCCCCTTTACTCTCTTCATCCTTTCCCATCTCCCTTCTCTCTGGTAACCACCATACTGTTGTCTTTGAGTTTGTTTTGTTTGTTTGTTGCTTTCAATTTTTTATCCCACATATGAGTGAAATCATATGGTTCTTGTCCTTTTCCATCTGACTTATTTCATTTAGCACGATACTCGCAAGATCCATTCATGTTGTCACAATTAGCAATATTTCATCATTTTTTATGGCTGAGTAGTGCTCCATTCTATAGACAGAGTATGTACCACATCTTTATCCAATCATCCATTAAAGGACACTTAAGTTGTTTCTATGTCTTGACTACCATGAATAATGCTGCAATGAATATAGGGGTACATATATATTTATGAATAAATGTTTTCAAATTTTTTGGGTAGATACCCAGAAGAGGGATTGTTGAGTCATATGGTAGCTCTAGTCTTAATTTTTTGATGAACCTCCATACTAATTTTCACAGTGGCTGTACCAATTTACATTCCCACCAGCAGTGTATGAGGGCTCGTTTTTTTCCACAATCTCTCCAGCACTTGTTATTACTAGTCGTGTTGATAATAGCCATTCTAACAAATGTGAGGTGGTATCTTATTATGGTTTTGATTTGCATTTCCCTTATAGCTAGTGAGGTTGAGCATCTTTTCATATATCTGTTGGCCATTTGTATGACTTCTTTATTTCTCCTTCATATCTAAAAGATAACTTTGCTGGATTTATTATTCTTGGCTGGTGATTTTTCTCTTTCAATACTTGGAATATTTAATTCCACTCTCTCCTAGCTTGTAAGGTTTTTGCCAAAAAATCTGATGATAATATAATAGGGTTTCCTTTATAGGTTACAGTCTTGTTTTCCCCTGGCTGCCTTTAGAATTCTTTCTTTGTCATTAACTTTTGACAGTTTTAATATAATGTACCTTGAAAAAGGTCTTTTTGCATTGAGATAATTAAGTGTTCTGTTAGCTTCTTGGATTCAAGGGTTCAGCTCTTTCCATAGGTTTGGGAAGTTTTTGTAGATTATTTGTTTGAATAGGCTCTCTGTTCACTTCTCCCTCTCTTCTCCATCTGGTATACCCATTATTCTTCCTAATAGAGTCAGATAGTTCTTATAGACTTCTTTTACTTTTTATTAACTCTCATTTCTCTTTTTTCTTCACCTGAGTCATTTCTAGATTTCTATTTTCAAGATCACTAATTCTTACTTCCACCTTATCTGTTCCATTTCCTAATCTCTCTTAATTCATCCTTCATCTCATTTATTGAATTCTTCAGCTCCAGAATTCCTGTTTGGTTATTTTTTATAGTTCCAGTCTCTTTACTAAAGTACTCCTTTTTTGTTTGTTGATTTTATTCCTGAGGTCATTGAACTTCTGCCTTTTTTAGTTTTCTTGTATCTCCTTGAGTTTTTTTCAGAACTGCAATCCTGAATTCTGACATTTAAATCATAGTCTTCCATGTGTTTGAGTTTGTTTTCTGAAGACTTTTCATTTTCTTTCTGAGCTATCTCATTACCTTGGTTATTCACGGTACTTGATGGATTATTTCTCTGCCTGGGCATTTTAGGGATTGAAATCTTTAAGTACTGTACTTTGCTTTTAACAATTTAGCAGGTTGATAAGTAGAGTTTTCTTTTGTTTTCCAATAGATGGTGCTATAGTGCAAGTTTTGTTTTTTCTTACCTGTAGTACTACTGAAACAACCCAGATCTCATTCCCTCTGGCAATGGCCCTATTATGCCTAATGAAATGGGAGCAAAATTCAGCTGACGTCTTCTACAAAAAGTTTTCATCTGGTAAAAGAAACACAAAAGAGGAAATAGCTGTTTTTGTTTGTACTTGTTTGTCCTAAATATTACAGTGTGAATATGTAACGCCTGGAGCTGTAATTCACAACGTGGAACCATAAGGAGAAATTCAGATGTAAAGGAAAGGGTGTTATGCCCTGCTGCTCTTGTTTTGCACTTCTGTATTTCATTTCAGCGGATTCTCTAAGAGATGGGAGACAGAAGTTCATGGTTAATCATCTATTTTAATTTCAGGAAATCTATTTTTTTCCTAATTATAAGGATATCTGCCCACTGTGGAAAATAAAACAATTACAAATTATATAAAGTAGAAATTAAATATGCCCACCCTCACTGTTGTTTCTCTGTATATAAAATAACTTCTGTCTCTAAAAACATTAACGCTATTTTTTTTACAAATATTTTAAGATATTAAATATCTGTAACCTGCAGTTTTCATTTAATGCTGTATAAGGGGAATCTTCACAGAGGAGAAAATGCTTGAGGCATTCTAATGGATGATTAATAACCTGCAGGTGGGAAAGGTGAATGACTAGAAGTGGTGATAGAGGGAGGTTCATGTAAATAGGACATTTATGTATGAGAGAAGACCTTATGCAAAGGCTAAAAGGTTGTCACTTCAGGAGAAAAAAATGAGTGTATAGATGACACAGAGCAGAGAAGTTTATAAAGGGAGTGGTGGGCTATGAAGCTGGAAATGTGGAAGATTAGATCAGATGAAAAAAAAAAGAGCCCCAGATGCCACGTTGGAGTATGAACGTTATAATGCAGGGTGTAGGCAGCCAGAGAAGGGTTCTGAGCAGCTGGAAAATATGATCAGATGAATGTTTGTAAAATATCAGTATTTCTCTAGGTCAGACAACTGAGACTTAGGCTGTAGCCCTGACATTTCATAGTTATGAAACTGTGAGTGACTTATTTAAGTATTCTCTATTTTCTTATTTTCAAAATGCGGACAATGGAAGAAGGGTTGTGAGGATTAAATGAGATAACCCACCTGAAAGTACCTGGTCAGGTTCCTGACATGTGGTAAATTTTCTATCAATGTTAATTTTCCTTTACTGCCGATCTTTTTTTGGTCTATGTTTGACTAAAAATGCAACTTACAAGAGCATTATTGTTCTACTGATAAGGGGAAAGTGTTTGGGAAACTATTTAAAAATATTATTTACTTCAAGTGATCTCATTAAAAACTATGTTTGTGAGGTCACTTAAATGCTCCAAATCATTTAAACCCAGAACCAAAAGAACACTGCTCAAATTCAATTCAACAAACCTGTACTGTATAATTCCTGGGTAATAAGCAGGAACTAAGCACTAGGGAATACAAAATAAAAATATAAAAATGAAAACAAAAAGTTCAATGAGATACATAAACAATTGCATACAACATGATAAGAACAACAGTAGATGTATTATATTAAATAGACTGCCCAACTGGTCTCTGGCAAGCATTATGATCTTTTTCCAAAATGTCCTCATTTACTGATAAGCAGAAAGAAGGTGTACTATTGGTATAGAGGCATGACATTCATCCAGGGTGTTTTCTCATACCTGAGCCTCTGCTGAGTGTATGTGTTTACCATGAAATGTGTTCTTTTCTGAGGGAGCATAATGTGAAAACTGCAGTTACACAAAAATATTTAAAAACTGGGGTGGGGGCAGAAAAAGAAATTTTCCTCATATCCCTCTCAGTTCTTCTGGCTGGACTAATAATCAAGTTAACATGAGACAGAATAATAGGAGAAAATAACCACATTTAATACATATGTACACATGGGGGTTCCCTAAGAATAGTGGAGACTGATGACAGGCAGTTAAGGCTTATATGCCATCTAGAGCTAAGGAGAAGGGGAGTTGTAGTTTGGGACTTCAAAAGGTAGGAAGGCAAGTCATGTGAAGGTAGAAAAGCAGATGTTTGGTAAATGTTTTCTGGGCCATCTTTAACAGTGGGACACAGAGAGGACTTCGATCAAATGGGCCTTGCTAGGTTCCTCACTTAGTTCAGATTAAACTATAGTTCTCCATGATGATATCTCCCTTTCTGGAGCAGGTCAAAGGTTTTTTTTTCTGAGGCTTTTTGTTTCTTGAAAAAAACCCCAGTTTAACATAATCAATATCCCAAAAGGCACATTTTGGGGTGGTAAACTCTGCTCTCCCTCACTGGCATAACTAGAAACTGGTATCTCTAGCTGCGGTTTTTATATCTCTTCTATAGAAATGATAACCTAATGCCTAAGTATGAGTAATGCATCTAGGATAGTTCTTAGGCATATAATCTGAATATAGTAGTCTTTTACTCCCACTGGTATTTTATTTTCATTTTAGTTCTTTTACGAAGCTCCCTCATCTGGCAGGAACAGAACAAAATTTGCTGCTTGCCAAGAAAATCCAAACCCAGTGGAAGAAGTTTGGACTGGATTCAATCAAGTTGGTTCATTATGATGTCCTCCTGTCTTACCCTAATGAGACAAATGCCAACTATATATCAGTCATGGATGAGCATGGAATTGAGGTGATGTAGAATTGTGGGTATTTCTCTTACTTTACAACTCCACCTTTTTATATGAGTTGGAATTTCGGCTCAAGTAAAAAGAGAAATTTGGTAGTAGTGCAATGGAACTCATGTTTTTAAGAGATGTTAACAAGTTGCAAACTCATTATTCAGTATTTACTACGTGTTAGGCACAGTGCTAGGTCCTGAAGCCATAATGAAGACTAGGACATGGTTCCTTTGCTTAAATAAGATGAGGCAGACGTTGGAACACACCATTTCAAATCAGTATGGTAAGTGCTACGAAGAGTGTGATTAGGGTTCTTGATCTACAAGGGAAAGGGTCACTTAGCCTAGTGTTGAAATAAGAACGTTTAAACCTGTAGAGAATGTTTGTAAGAGCTTGTTTGAGCTACACTGATGAAATATGCCGGGGTTGCAGCGTTTAATGTGTTTGAAATGAAGGAGGAAGCATAAGGAAGATTACATAGAGGTGGGAGGAAACGAGGTGGGATTGAATGACAGGACAATTAACATGTCCTCTCCTGAGGGTAGTTTGGGCTTATTTCAAAGGTGTGCGGAACAATGGACAGGGCTCTCTTAAGACAAGGATAAGCCTTTCACTAAAAAGTGACAGGCCTGGGTGTGACTACCTACAGTGATCTACCCAGTTAGGAATTTATACTGAGATCACACTGTGAGGTAAGTTGCTTTCCATAGGATCCCTTTTTTCATCCACACCAGCCTGGGAGTCAGAGAAGCCTTCTTGAGAGAGAGTTGATATGTGAGGCATGAAAGAGTCTAAGGGATAAATTAATCACATGGAGAGGAATATTGATGAGAGAAGTCTAGGCAGAAGAGGAATATTGGCAAAGGCTTGGAGACAAATACTAATTTAGTTTTATTGGGGGAATTTCAAGATTTTCTGTATTTCAAGAGTGTAAAATACAAAGTGAGCCATGATAAGAGAAAAAACAGTCTACAGTTGACCCTTGAACACCATGGGGGTTAGGGGCACTGTCCTGCAATCTACATATGACTTTTTGACTTCTCACAACTTTACTACTTATGGCCTACTGTTGACCAGAAGGCTTACTGATAACATGAACAGTCAATTAGTACATATCTTGTATGTTATATATATATATATATATATTTTTATACTGTATTCTTACAATAAAGCTAGAGAAAAGAAAATGTTATTAAAAATCATAAGGTAAAATAAGTTTACAGTACTGTGTATTTATTGAAAAAAAATCTGCTTATACTTGGACCCACATAGTTCAGACCTGCGTTGTTCAAGGGTTAACTGTATATGTTTTGGGGACAGGTCATAGCAAGGCTTATACACTGTCCTAAGGAGCTTAGAATTCAGCTTTCGTCAGTGGAAACCATTGACGAGTCCTAAGCAATGGAAAGGTGTGTCTAAAAGAGGCATTTCAGGTAGTTTGGGAAGTCTGTAAATTAGACCTGGACTAGGCAAGGAGTTAAAATTGGAGTCTTAAGACAATAGTCCAGGCAAAAAATGACAAAGCCCTGAATTAGGATGTTAGCAGGAATGAGGAAGAGGGATATATCTGAGAAATAGGAAGCAGTATGGGAGGACTTTAATAGTGCTTGACTGAAAAAGGAGATGAGGACACAGTTTAGTCTGATTTTTAGGAATCTGATGTGGGTGGCTAGCTAGTGATGCTGATAATAGCAGGAGGAAAATGCACAACCAGAAGCAGACCTGGGGTGAGAGAAGATATATTCAAATTTTGCCCTGTTGAGTTTGGACATCCAAGCTGAAATGTCCATCAGGCCCTTAAATAGACAAGTCTGGAAGGCTGGACATCATAAGCAAATTAGGTACAGATAAAATTTTGAGAGTCCATGAAATCTCACAGGAAGAGAGCAGTGTACTGGGGATTAAACATAGGGAAACATTATTTACATGCAATTGAAAGAAAAGGGGCCCACAAAGAAAGCTGAAAAGAATAGTTGGAAAAAGAGAACCATGAGAGTGCCACCTTCAAAGCCCTGTTTTATATTTCATATGGGGGCTTTAGTTACCTGAGATTGCATGCATTTATAGAACGTTCTACTATTTTGAAGACAATAATAATTATAAAGCGCTCTCTCTCATTGTCAGTGGAATTTATCAAATTATAGAACCTAGTTTCAGGATGCTTAATCTTAAGTGGACACTTGGGGCAAAATATTGGGTTGTCAGAAAAGTCATGACATATTTTGTCTATGTTTTTCAAAGGTCATTTATTTATATAAAGAACAAAGATCAATTAATGATATATCGCCCATTTTGTTCGATAATCTTTTGCCATCTTTCAGTGAGCTTCATAATTCCTTGTTCATAGAAGGACCTGCCTTTATTTGTGAAAAACTGAACAAGGTGCTGATTTATAGCCTCACCTGAATTGAACATTATACCACACAAGGAGTTTTGAAGAGAGCAAAACAAGTGGAAGTCTGATGGCAGAAGGTCAGGCGAATATGGTGGGTGTGGAAATGCATCCCATCCAAGCTCCAATAATTTTTGATGGGTTGACCGAACTTGTGTGTGGTCTTGCGTTGTCACGATAGAACACAACTCCTTTACAATTAACAAGCTCTGGACATTTCTGGATGATGGATTCGTTCAAACTGTTCAATTGCCGACAGTACACATTCTAATTGATTGTTTGGTTCCTTGGTAGGAGCTCGAAAAACACGACACCTTTAAAATCCCACCACACTGAGAGCATAACCTTCCGCTGATGAATGTCGGCTTTCGGTGTCGTTTGAGGCGTGATCACATTGGGACCAAGACCGTTTGTGCACCACATTGTTGTAAACAATCCACTTCTCATCACCAGTTATCAGTCGCTTCTAAAAAGGATCATTTTCCTCATATTTAATGAGCATATTGCAGATGTTTATAGGCGCCGTCAAATGAACTTCTTTGAGTTCATGCGGAGCCCAAATACCGAGTTTGCTTATATATCCCAGCTTCTTCAGGTGGTAGTGAATGCTTGAATGATGGATGTTCAATGTTTCTGCAATCTCTCGTGTTGTGTAATATGAGTTTGACTCAATCAGTGCCTTTATTTTGTCATCATCAACCTCGGTGGGCCTCCCTTAGGAGTGTCGTTGAGATCAAAATCACCAGCATGGAATTTCGTGAACCATCGTTGGCACTGATGTTCTTCTAGAGTATTGTCACCGTAAACTATGCAACTTTTCACAAGCTCGATGTACGTTCTTTCCTTTGTGGAAGTAAAACAGTAAAATATGGCAAAAATGCAGTTTGGTCTTCCATCTTCAACTTGTAAAATCTCCAAAACTCAACCAAGTTGTTCAATTTTTTTTTAGAATGAAGCCAGAACTGTCAGCTATCAAATGACATAGCAATGACATAGATGCGAATGACTCTAGTGCTTCAAAAATGAACTAGTGCCATCATCACAAATGTGTCAGGACTTTTCCAACAATCCAATATATTATTTTTTAATTACAATCTAGAATATTTCTAACTTCATGTGTTTTGATGCTTGCTAGATTTTCAAAACATCATACGTTGAGCTGCTACCAGATGGATATGAAAATGTTACAAATATTGTACCACCATATAACGCTTTCTCAGCCCAAGGCACACCAGAGGTAAAAATAAGACATTTTCTTATTCAATTCTTTAAACCTTTCTTTGTTATATAAAACCTATATAGATAACTAAACCAGGGAGATTAGGAAGATCATATATCCTGATCCATACTTTGAGGTTCCATGCTATATAAATTCTACCTAAAAGTAATTAAAAAGAAAAAGAATAAAAGACTGCCAGAAAAGAAAATACATAAACATCAGACCCTGATGGAAATGCCACACTCTTAAAAAAAAATAAACTGCTGAATATGCCTTTAATTCAATAAGTGCAACAGATGGTTTTAGAAGTTTTTTTTCTTTGATCATAGTCTGACTTTGTTACAGATTTATAGATCACACCACAGAAGTTTTAAAATTAATGACATGGTTGGAAATTAAACATAGTTGAGATTTAAAATGACTTTTATTTCCTGTGGCTCAGTATGCACTGATAATTTCTTCAAAATAGAACATGCGGTTTAAAATGTTTTACATGTCATTTTTAAATGACAGAATTAGCATGGATCTATTTATTAAGCCCAAACTGGGAAAGAAAACTTTTGATGATGCAGTGTTGTGGAGCAAACTTATTCTTTGGTTTTCTCTTTAATTATAGCAGTATTCTGTGTTTTTCTTTTTTGTTTTCCTACAGGGAGATCTTGTATATGTAAACTATGCTCGTACTGAAGATTTTTTCAAACTAGAAAGAGAAATGGGCATCAACTGTACTGGAAAGATTGTTATTGCGAGATATGGGAAAATCTTCAGAGGAAATAAAGTATTGTGTTATTTTTTTTTCTAGAAGGAAGAAGATATATATGTTCTGTAAATGCAAATGATCAGCTTGTATCATAGCTTGTGAAATTACTTTCACGATATATACTGTATTTCCCCATGTATAAGACGCTCCCATGTATAAGACGCACCTTAATTTTGGGGCCTGAAATTTGAAAAAAATGTATTACATAAAGTTATTGAACTCAAGTTTTATTCATCATAAAATTCATACAACTCATCACTTGCAGGAAATGCAAGTAAAAAATTTACAACCACTGTATAAGACGCACCTAGTTTTTAGACCCCAAATTTTTCAAAAAAGGGTGCGTCTTATACATGGGGAAATATGGTATACATACATACATACATATACTATTTCCATGGTTGCACAGAAAATCCTGTTTTTATGTTCCTTCAAATATCTAGAAAGGGAAATTATTTTTAATAATTTTATTGCCAAAGAAATATGTTTTATTTACTTGAAGGAAATTTATATAAATTAAAAAATGAAAAGCTCCCCTGCATGACCCAACTTCATTGTCCAGACATAATCAATCTTAACAGCTCTTGCCAGACCCAATTCTGTAAAATATGAATATATCTGTGTCTATACTCATTTTACATAAATATTATGTATTTCACAAAGAGGGCATCAGAAATTATATATTTTATAACTGTTTTTTCACTCAGCAATAACTAGGTGTTCTTTCCTGGTTAAGTATAGGACTCTAGTTCATACAAGCTTAGTCTGGGCTTCCTATTCTCTAGATCCTTCACTGTGAACAAGTTGCTTAACTTCTCTGTGCCAGTGTTTCCTCACATATAAAATGGAAATGTTAATAATAACACTAACCTCTTAGAATTAAATGACTTTATATTTGAAAGCACTTTGGATAGTGACTGGTGCTTAGTAATTTCTATGTCACTTTATTAAGTAAATACCTCATTATTTTAGATGGCTACATAGTATTTCACAGAATTGATAAACAATTTATTTAACCATTCCTCTGTTGATGGATGTTTGGTGTGTCTTCAAATGTGTTACTGTTAAAATGATGCCATTGTGAACATCTTTGTCAATATTACTTGAACATTTGTGCGAAGATTTTTTTGTAGTATAGATTCCCAGGAGTTGAATGGCTGAATCATAATGTATATTATTTCAAAATTTTGATAGGCATCATCAAATTACCCTTAAAAAAATTTGTGGCAGTGTACTCTAATATTATGTGAGAGTGCTTTTTGAATATTGGAATATGTTTTAGTTCATCAATACTGATGGTTATATACCTTTTGCCACTTCTGGTAATGAAGAATTCAGTATCTTATAGGGTAGATTTTCATTTGTGGTCAGCTTGCACTACTACAAAAATGTTTACAAAAACACTGTGGGCAATTTTTCACACACTGTGACTATTATGCATAGAACTTTAAATTAATTTAGTTCCACAAATATTGTAGAGTACTTATTCTATCATGTGCCAGATTTAGGAGGGTGGATAGTAAAAAGTGATTAAGACATGGTCTCAGTTCACAACAATTTAGTATAAAAACCATTTTAAAATACTTTTATCTATCCTAAAATAGAAATATATACAAAATACAGAAGTACAAAGAAGGGAGACATTAATTCTGTAGTTTTAGCGACAATAGAAATGTTTCCCAGAAGAGGCAATAACTTGTTTCGAGTTGTGTAAAATAAATGAACATTGTTAGATCTACCAAGAAAGAAACTGATTTCAAGGCAAAGACAACTAAATCAGTAACAGCATGATAAAAAGCAGTGACTAAATTTCCTTACATTATAAATTCAATTTTCACTTAGGTGAATAAGTCATTCATTTGCCATTTCTACGTCATGGATTGCATATTGCCCCTGCAGGTTAAGAATGCCATGTCAGCAGGAGCCATAGGAATCATCTTGTACTCAGACCCTGCTGACTACTCTGCCCCTGAGGTACAGCCGTATCCCAAAGGATGGAACCTTCCTGGAACTGCAGCTCAGAGAGGGAATGTGTTAAATTTGAACGGTGCTGGTGACCCACTCACTCCAGGCTATCCAGCCAAAGGTAATGGATGAGCCTGTCTTGGTCCACCCATTTTTGTAAAAATGCCACTTGCTCTTATAGAAGGCATAAAAGGAAGCATCTACAGAATAACATTAAAACTGTGTGCAATTATAACGTTTTGGATTACCATTGCTAGGGACTGAGACATTTCCCTTAGTTTAGTTTTAAATTTTTATGAGTTGTGTACACAGAGAAGGGAAGGTGTTTTCAATTCTTTCTCTACCTTTAATAGAGGTTCAGAAACACAGATTCTCATATCCAAAGTAATACTGCTGTTACCAAACTAGAATGTGGGGTTTCTGAATTGCCTAGTGATTTTATCTTTTTCTAGATCATACATTTCTATTTTTAAAAATACCAATGAGTTTTTTGTTATTTAACATGTAAAATGTGAAAAGTTTTGACATCTGTATAACCATCTCCACTATCAAGGTAATGAACGTATTCATTGTCCAAAAATGTTTCCTATCATCTCAAACCTTAGTGCCTCACCCACCGCCTCATCGCTAGGCAACCACTGATCTACTTTCTGTCCACATATTTATTTTGAGGTCCATCCATGTTGATATCTGTGTTATTAGTTCATTGCTCTTTTGAGGAGAAGCATTCCATTGAATAGATGTACTACAGTTTATTTATTTATTTATTTATTTATTTATTTATTTATTTATTTATTTGTGGATAGAAATTTGGATTGTTTGTAGTGTTGGGACTATTACACCAAAGCTGCTCTGAATAGTTGGATACAAGTCTCTTTGTACATATGTTTGTATTTGTCTTGAGTAAATACATAGAAACGGCTGGATAATATGATAGAGATATGAACTTTTAAGACATTTTCAAATCGTTTTCTAAAATGGTACCATTTTACATTCCAGCAGCATTGTATGAATATTTCAGTTGCTGCATCCTTGCCAACACTTAGTATGGTCAATCTTTTTAACATTACATATTCTAACAGAAATGTAAGTCCTCTGTTAACAATTCTTTTTCAAGGTTTTTGTGATTATTCTAGGTCAATTCCATGTGAATTTTAGAACCAGCTTACCAGTTTCCACCAAAAAAGTCTCCTGGGAAGTTGGAAGAGATTGATTTCACTCTATAGAGTGATTTCACTCTATAGATCAGTTTGGGGAGAATTGATTAATAAATAGTGGGTATTCAGATCTTTAAACATGGTACAACTGTTCATTTACTTAGGTATTCTTTCAATTTCTCTCAACATATTTAAAGCTTCACTGTACAGATAACATACATCTATTTTCACATTTATCCCATTTCATAGTCTTATGCTATCTTAAGTTGCATTTTAAACTTCAGTTTCCAATTGTTTATTGCTAGTACATAAAAAATACTATTGTATTTCTAGAATAAATATATTGATCACGTAACCTGTAAACTTGTTAAACTCATTAATTAGTTCTACTAGGTTTTTGTAGATTCCATCAGAGTTTTTACATAGATGGTCATGTCCCCTGCAAATAAAAACATTTTATTTCTTTGTTTCTAATGTTTTCTTTTAAATTTGTTTTTCCTGTTGTATTGTACTGGCTAGTACTTCTAGTACATTGTTGAAAAAGTTATTAGAGCAGATATCCTTGCCTTGTTCCTGCCCCAAGGAGAAGCCTTTCTCTGTTAAGTGTGATGTTATCTGTATGTTTTTTTATAGATTATTTTTGTCAGATTGAGGAAGCTCACTTCTGTATTAATGTGAAAAGAGTTTTTAGTGCTTGTATCTAGAAATTCATATTGGATTTTGTCAAATGCTTTTACTGCATCTATTGAAATGATAAGTTATTTAATTTATTCAGTTATACTGATTGATTGATTTTTTGTTTATTTATTTATTTTATTGGGGAATTGGGGGAAGGGGAACAGACAAGTTGCTGTCATTTTGTTCTTCAGCCTAGTTGTGGAGGACGTTACTTCACTGGCCCAAGTTGGCACCATCATTGCGCTCTTCCCAGGCGAGGCAGATCAGTCACCGGCTTCTGGATGGCCGCTCACTGCGGCTGCTGGCCGCTCACACTGGCTGCTGGCTACATACGGTAGCCCATGGCAACCCACTGCAGCAGGGGCTGCAGCTTATGGCAAGCGACTTCCGGCAGCCCAGCTCCAGGTTGAGCTGTTGTTCAGCATCTTAGCTGTGGAGGGCAGTGTCACTGGCCCTCATATGTGGGATCCGAACCGGGGCCCTCTGGCTTCCCCAGCCAGTTCTTAACCATCGCGCCACTTGGCCGGCCCCTGATTGATTTTTGAATGTTAAACCAAACTTTCCATCCTGGGAGAAACTCCACTTGGTCATAATACATTATCCTCTTACATATTGTTGGATTTGTGCTAAAATTTTGTCAGGAGTATCTCTATCTTTAGTCATAAGGGATAATAGCCTACAGATTTATTTTCTTGTAATATCTGTCTCATTTTGGTATCAGAGTAATGCTGGCCTCATGGAATGAGTTGGAGGCTATCTCCTTCAATTTTTTATGCAAAAGTTTATAAGAATGAGTTTGATTTTGTCTATGTATGTTTGGTAGAATTCCCCAGAAAATCCATCCAGGCCTGAAGTTTTGTTTGTAAGAATGCTTTTAACTACAAATTCAATTTCTTTCATAGATATATGGCTGTTTGGGTTATGTATTCTTGAGTGAGCTTTGGTAGTTTGTGTCTTTCAAAGATTTTGTTCATTTCATCTAAGTTATTGAATTTATGGGCATAAAGTTGTTCATAATACAATAATACCTTGGTTTGTGTGCATAATTTGTTGCGGAAACAAACTATTCATATTGCAAGACATTGCTCGTTTACCACATTAAAATGTATTAGGAATGTTTGCTCGTCTTGCAGAATACTTGCAAACCAAGTTACTCACAATCCAAGATGTTACTGTATTCCCTTATTTTTGTTGTTGTTTGTAGGTACTAGAATGATATTTTCTTCTTTATTTCTGATATTAACTATTTGTCCTTTTTCTTTTTTTTCCTGATCTGTCTTGCTAGAGATTTATCAGTTTTATTGATCTTCTCAAAGGACCACCTTTGGATTTTATTGATAATCTATCATTTTTTTGTTTTGTATTTCTTAGATTTCAGCCCTGATCTTTTTTTATGTCTTTTCTCTTGCTTATTTTTCCTCACTTGCTCTTCATTGTCAAGCTTTTAAAGTAGAATCTGATGTCATTTGTTTGAAACCTTTCTGTTTTCTAAGATAGATGTTTTACTGCTATACAGTTCTATTTTGGCTGAAAGCCAAAGTCCCAATGAGGTTTTTAAGCCTGACAATATTTTTCAATCTTTCTTTAAAAAGAATATTGTTTGAATAAGATCTTTATCACTTAATCTCAAAAGCTCATAAATTCCCTTTAATTTTTTTACAGTTATTTCTAGTTTTAGATTATGGAACACATTTTTCAGAAATCTGGTTAACTGAAACTTCTCTAAGGATTCAAGATATCCTTGAGAAAATAAAATATTCTTGTAAAATTTAAGAGAATTATGTAGCATTCCAGTCAAGATGGTACAGTAGAAAGTCTTGCTAGGAAGACAAATGAGAAGAATATACTCTGAGCTGACTTAGAAACTAATTATAGAAAAATGCAGAGACAGGGTTCTTAGAGACTCGGAGTGATCAGAGCTGAGTTCAGACATGTTTCTGAAAAAGCAGAAGCATAAATTCCATTCTGTCATGGAGAAAATTCAGTTTTCTTTTCACTCAGTGTTTTAACTCAAATTTAAAGTTCATCTTCTTTTAGCAAACAATGTTTCAATAAATCCTTTTATAATAAAAAAGAATTATGTGAAATGTCAAAGCAAGTCTGGGAATCTATAATACCTATATTTGATTTTAAATTAAAATGTAAATGGTTTAATTTCTTACTTTTGAATTAAATAGACCATATTAGGTAAAACAAACATTGACTTTTGGGGAACTTTATATTTTGATTATAATGTTAAATAGGAAATCTGAAAGAGTAATAAAAGAAATTTCTTTGTACTCCTTGCTCAGATTCTTCAGTTGTTTTCATTTTATGCAATTGATTTTTGCAGAGTACACCTTTAGACTTAATGTTGAAGAAGGAGTGGGAATGCCCAAAATCCCTGTACATCCCATTGGCTATAAGGATGCAGAAATATTATTACGGTATAGTTTTCTTGTTGGATGTGAAATTCAGGTGTTTTGCACTAATTGTCCATTTTCTCTTCTAAAACCAATTTAACTTAATTTTGCTAAAAGTAAAGTCTTGTATCTGGTACTCTTGAACTAGGAATAACAGAGCACACCTCTTTTTTTTTTTTCCCATAAGAGCAGTCAGTTTACTAAGAAAACATTATTGTTTGCTACAAATGAAAGTCTCAAAAGCAAAACTATGTCCAAAGGTAAAAATACTGATAAGAGATTTTTCTCAAGTAGATGGATTTTCTTAGATGTTCAATTGGTATTTGTACTTGACCTACATTTTAAAAATATGATAATGCCCATCACTTACTACATGTGTGAACTTGTATTAGTTACTCAATCTTTGATTCAGTTTCCTTATCTTTAAAATGATAAAGTTTCTCCCTGATAGGGTTATTATAAGAAATATATGACATCATGCATGTAAAGTATCTAGAATATGGTAAACATTCAATTAATGTTTGCTGTTATTACATGTATTCTGTAACTGATGTTCCTTTTTCAAATCTTTGAACTTGTATTTTTTAAAAAGTCTGTACCAATATAATTTAATAATTGCTTTATGAGTGCCTACTGTGTTATGAGCAGCTTCTCTAGAAATTTATTTCTTCTTTACATAGTCATGTATTTCATTTTCAGGATTTCTTGTATCTAACGCATAAAGTCAAGAGTAAAGAGTCTGAAGCTTCCCTTTTCCTCTCGCTATTTTGTTTTCTTCTCCTTGCTTTTATCACTAACACAGGAAATAGTTTGCTCGTGTATTTCAGTGTGGCTCTCTCACTAGAATGTAAGCTCCACAAGTGAAGGGAGTTTTGACAGTACCTGGAACTTAGTAAATGCTCAATAAATATGTGTTAAATGTATGAATGAAATATCTCATCGTCATACTTCATGATTTTTTTCTAAGAAATTATGCTCAGGCTCTTCCTGTCATTTTCATTTTTCCTTGGCAGCTATATGGGAGGAACTGTTCCACCAGATGACAGCTGGAAGGGAAACCTTAATGTGGATTATAACATTGGGCCTGGCTTCACAGGGCATGATTCTTTTAGGTAATTTTACATTACTTTAATAGCCTGGAAAAGGTGCATATATATGTTTAGTAGGAAAATGTCAAGATAACTGTTCCACCAGGTATATTTTGCTTATCTTCTTTTTCTCATTTTTCATAATGAATAAATTGATCATTTTATGTCACTTAGGAACTATTCATATAATGATGATGTATCAAATTTCTTCCAATAGTGATATCACAACGTTTATCAAGTCTCATTACTACACTTGAGTCATAGGTTTAACTTTTCACTTAAGTTTTAAAACAGGGTTCATAACTTTTAAAATGTTACACATGTGAAACACTAGGCTAACTTAAGGGAAAGGAGTCAGATAAGAGAGAAAGGAGGGAATATTTATTGATCATTTACTGTGTGGATGAATTAAATAAGTTAAAATGGGCAAGCGCATAACTATTGTAGGGCTCAATACACTTAATTGTCATTAACACATTATAGCACTGTTGTAGAGGAGGAGTGATCACAGAGTACATGTTCATTGAGCTTAATTTTATAGAAGGAGTTAAGCTTTCCACTGGATCACAGCAGGCAGGAAGTGCCAATTGGAGACATCAGCTTGAACAGAGTTGTGAAACAGCATGGCACGATCAGTACTTTGAGTAGTTTCATTTGTCTGAAATGTAGAGAGAAAGGGAAGTGTAACAATGAAAAATCAGAGAAGATATAACTGTTTTTATTAAACCAAAATTATATCAGTTTTGTTTGCTGACAACTTACCTGAACAATGTAAACTTGCATTCTTAGTGTTTTTTTAGTTTCTGTAATATGTTTTTTTATTTCAGAACTTTTAAAGTATGAGTTTAATTTTTTTACTTTATAGGAATTTTATAATTTGTTATATAAGTGCTTATTTATCTCTATCACTCAATCAGAATAGAATTCCTTTAATATATTGTATTATCTAATTTATTAATACCTTCCAGGGGTAGAAAACCATACACAATGAAAAATAAAGGCCTTTCTGATGAAAGACAGATACAGAGAAAACAGAAAACATACAGCATTAGTTCTACAATTTCAGTCACAGTTCAAGAGAAAACTCAGAAACATAAAATCTCTTGGGTCAAGATACAAAAAACTATTCTCCTTTACCATGGGTACAAAACCATTAATTGAATTGATCTCAAACTGGACAAATACACAAATCGAGAAAATTGCTAAAAAACCCCCCAAAAACCCAAAATACATTTTCTGTCATATCTCACCCCAAAAAAGATCTTGATAACTATTAATCCGTTTACAGAGATTAACAAATAACAAAACATGAAATCAAATTCCTAACCATTGCTGCCATCAATGCAGAATAACTTATCAGTAGCAAAAAAATTAGAGATACAGAGAATCAGCAAAGTTAAAATTATATTGCTACTTGGGGTTTCCCTCTGAGAGCCAAAAGAAGACATAGCTGAGTATAAGCTGTCCATACCTGGTCTGCGAGGTGAATCCATTGTACATCTCAGTGGGATCTAAAAATGATAAAGGATGACTTTATTGTTTTAAAAGTAAAACCATAATCCTTATAGAAATATAAAATGAACATGTATCCAAAATTGTGTTTAATTAATAAGGGAACCTGAAAGGAGTTAAAACTGGTTCAAAGGAGAATTCAAAGTTGATAGAAAAAATCAGCTCATTAGGAATAGTGAAATGAATATATTTAATAGCAGAAAAACTGATTTCTTCCACATTGGGGGAGGGAAGTTAATTTAAACATTCACTAGACAGATTGTGCATTTCAGTGGACATGAATTTTTTACATTATCCTGTTTCTACAAGTTAACTTGTCTCCACAGAGTTGTAAAATCATTTAGTTAAAGACATGATAGGCAGGCAGGTGCAGGAAGGAAGGTAGAAAGAAAGAACTCTGATGGATGAGCTAAGGTCTTCCTCAACTTTTCCTTACAGGAGTATATTCATTCATTTCACAAATATTTGCTGAGCATCTACTATATCCTAGGCAGCATTCTGGGCACTGAGGATTCAGCAGTGAACAAAACAAGAAAAATCCCTCCTCTATGGAGCCTACATTCTAGAGTTAGTTTATTTGGAACATAATGAATTTGAAGTCATAATAGGACAAACAAGCAGATATTCAGGCATTTCTGGAGCCAATGATAATAAAAACTAGAAAGGTATAAGGATTAAAGATAGGTGTAGATGAGCTTCTTGGAGAATCTGAACAGATAGCCTACGTTGTTTTTCATTAAAATAATTTTTTAATTAAAAAGTTTTTAATAGATTTTTCTTTTCATTCCTCATTGTTTTTAATTTTCTTCATTTGATGACATAATATTAATGAATTGGGTTTCTTACCAGTAGATCTTAGTCTCATATTTTTGGAAATACGTGCTGTAGAATGTTTCTACTTTTTTGCTATTTTTATCAGCAGCAAAAATAAATCTTTTACTTAATGTCTCAAAATGAAAAAAAAAAACCCATTGATTATCATTTTTTCCAAAGGCATTTTTAGTTGAATATTGCACATGAATTAAAGATGCATTCAGAAGCACAAGATACTTTTGGAGGGAAAACCCAGAATCTGCACTTAACAATATATAGGTTTTAACAATTAGTTCTTCCATTAAAACACAAGCCATAGATTAGAAACTGCTGGGATTACCACCCCAATTTACCCTTAATCCCTGCCAATAGATAATGACTTATTTTGTTCCCTTGTGAGAAAAAGGTTCAACATTTCCCCATGCCATTTTGAATTCATGTAATTTGAATGGCATTTTTTTTTTCTGTCTGAGCTTGATTGTTTTTTCCCTTGAATTATAATTTGGTGGATTGTAATTCATTTAGTGAATATTTAAAAGGCCAGCCCAAATCAGAATCAATAGTGATGGCCTGGGAGCTTCATTATGTGGTTGTCTTGTACATTTTAGCAGGCGCGTCCCAAATTCCCATCTAACAGTAGTGTTTTTTTTTTTTAATTTTTTTTTTTTTAGTTTCAGGTGTACAGAACAATGCAATAGTTATCCTTTTCACCCTCACAAAGTAACAACCCCCACCTCCCCCTCTATTGCCCTCCCACCCCCGATATCATGCTTATCTATTACAATTCCATTGACTCCATTCCTACTCTCCATGTCCCATGACTATATGTATATATAATTATAGTTGACATATAGTATTATTCAACATCAGCTTCAGAAATACAGTGCGGTGGTCAGGCCTCTATACCGACTATGAAGTGGTCTCCCCAACAGGAGACGAGTCCATCTAGCCCCCTAAGAAATATTTACAACATTTTGATTATATTCCTCAGACTGTCTTTTTCTATCCCTGAGGCCATATTGTAGTCACCAATTTGTATTGTCTCATCCCTTCCCCTTCTCCTTCATCCCCAACAGTAGAGTTTTATTATGCTTCTTACAGGCAGTACTCAGCCAGCTCTTTAACTGATACACTACTTCAATAATCTTGAAGAAAGTTACTAAATAGCATAAATTAACAAATACAAAGACACATTAAACAATAGGTTCATTTGTTTTTAAATACATAAAGGACTGTCTTCTTTATTATTGTCATTAAGTATATTTAAAATTTTAGAATGACTACCAAGAAGACTTGTTGAATAATAGAATATTTTGAATTTTAAATATCAACACATAGCTATGAGGGAGGAGGAATATAAAAACTGACATTTAGTTTTTAAAATTTTATTTTAAGGTATGTGCTTAACACTAGGAGTAAAATGTCATGATATCTACAACTCACTTGCAAATATTAACAATTGTTGAATTTAGGTGGTAGATCTGTGGGAATTCACTGAATTATTAGAGTTTTCTATACTTTTGAGATTTTTCATAATTAAATGTTGGAAGAACACCGTTAGACATAATGTTCTAGGTGAAGTAACTTATTCCCTTTGAATTCTAGGAAGGTTAAAATGCATGTTCATAACACCAACAAAATTACAAGGATTTACAATGTAATTGGAACTATCAGAGGATCTGTGGAACCTGGTGAGTCAGAGAATTTTTTAAAACACTTTGTTTTTTACAAAGATTAAAAGAATAAGATAAATTTTAGTCAACAGTTCATATATTTTTTTCTGACTGGCATAAAACAACTAAATTTGAAAAAAGAAAACAATGGTACCACTCTAAAAGAAGACTTCCTTATAGTGTTGATATATGTTCCTCCCATGGAGGAAACTCAAGGAAGGGGAAGTTTAATTAAAAAACATAAATTGCAACTACTCAAAGTTCTGGTTCTATTGAACACATTCTTTTCCAGACAGGTATGTTATTCTGGGAGGTCATCGGGACTCCTGGGTGTTTGGAGGTATTGACCCAACCACTGGGACGGCTGTTTTACAAGAAATCGTTCAGAGTTTTGGAAAACTGATGAGTAGAGGTAAATAATGTTTCTTTGGTAAGTGATGACAAAAAGTGACTCACTTAATTTTCCTTTATTTTTAGGCAGGTATACTTAACTATTTATGTTAACAATGATTATAGGCTGGAGACCTAGAAGAACTATCATTTTCGCGAGCTGGGATGCAGAAGAATTTGGACTTCTGGGTTCCACAGAATGGGCTGAGGTAAATAAGACAAAGAAGATTCTTATTTTCTTGGATAACAGGGAACAAATATATGTATCTCAGGATGATCACAAATAGATTCTGTTACCTAATATGGTTTAATTTGAAGACTCAAGAGAATTTAAGAATTAGAGTTTGTTTTTACTTTCACATCAGTTTGGTAAAACAGAATAACCTCTTACTTACTGGTTCATTATTGTCAAACAAATGTATTCATTATTGTATTCATTATTGTCAAAATATTTTACTTTCTATTTGTATTTGTTTTGTGAAAAGTAAGTAAAATCTGTAAGTTCAGAAAATGGTCAGAAATAGCAAGCTGTTTCTGACAAGGGAATTGACTTATCTAAAAACTCAAGACATCCCTGGAGTTAATTTTTGAGTTTTTGAAGTTTCTTTGGAATTCTTCTATCTAAGAAAACATAAGATGTTCCACTAAGATGACTTGATTTTGATTATAATTTCACGTTTACAGATTCCATATAAAACTGCAAACATAGGTATATTTTACCATTCACAAAAGTACCTAATTGTTGAGCATGATGATAATTTTGTAAATAGAATTACTTTAGTAAAATGCCTTACTTTATAATTTCGAAGATTTATTTTTTTCTTCAGACATGATTTTCATTTGTGATTGGCTCTTAATGCTTTATTCTTAAGTGTCTCTCCTAGGTCACTTGTTTTCATCTTTTTGCATTAGCCTCTCTGTCGAGTAACTCTAAGTTCTTAAATGTACAAGGTAAGCTCATACATTGTCATAAAGGCAGGTACACTGTATAAGCACCTATTCTTCCTCCACCATCCTCCATTGATCATTTATAAGTCCAGATTTTATAGAGGTGTTTCAAAAGAATGTCGTACATTTCTTGACATTGTCTCTAGTTCTTAAAACACTTTCCTTGGGACTCATTTCCTCTTTCTTTACTTTAAAATTATATGAATCAAATTAAAATGGGGGTAAAATCACACATGTGTTTACTTGTCTTGTGCTTATCCTTTGATTCCATTTATAGTGCAAAGTTTTATTATTACATTGGTATTATAAACATGCATTTTGGAAGTAGACTATTTAGATGAATCAAATTTCATTAAGGTCATTTACTTTTAGAAATATGTGATTTGTGAATAGATGCATATATAAATACATGTCTGTTTCTATAGTTTCAGCAGCTTAAAATAAAAATCAAAGAAATCTAAGATATAAAATAATATGCTTTGCATGAATTTAAATAGATGTGACATGCGGGTTAAAAGACAATTTCAACACGGTTTCTAATTTTCTACCAGATTCTTCATCATATTCAACAAAATACTTCCTTTAAATATAGTTAAGGCATAATTCCTTATTTCTAATTATATCTGTTATAATGGAAATATTTATAGCAGAGGCCATTGTTATCTGGCCTGTGTGGGCAAGTGCATAGAAGTGGCAGTCCTCATTTGTGCCACAACCTCTTACAGCTTTAAATGGTTTTTTGTTTTTTTTTAATTATAACATGTTCTTACAAGGTAGCAAGCTAGAAGGAGAGAGAAGAGCACTCAGTACATTCCCACCTGTGTGTGACATCGGTCTTTCTCTACTTTATCTTTCTAGGATGTGTGTGTGTGTGTGTGTGTGTGTGTGTGTGTGTGTGTGAGAGAGAGAGAGAGAGAGAGAGAGAGAGAGAAGAAACTAGTGTTTGTCTTAATGTCCTTCCCTCTTTCCCTCTATTTTTTTTTTTAAGCTGAGCCATCCTGCCACCTGTTGCCAGTTCAGCGGCAGCTCAGCTCGGGCCGTGAATGGAACCGTGGACCCTGTTGCTCAGAACTTGCGCCCTTGAGCGAGCTCTTAACCAACTGAGCCACTCGGCCGGCCTCCCTCTATTTTTTTCTGTCCTTTTTTTGTTTTTTTCTTTTTAAAGAGAAGATATGATGGATGGAAATTTTCTATTTTTTCCCTTTTAAAATGATACATTTATTTGGGTATCAGTGGATCTCAAACTTCACTGTATGCCAGGATTTTCAGGCCTTACTTTTCAACAATTCTTATTCTGTGAGCTCTGAGCAACAGGGTCGCTGGTTCGATTCCTGGTCCCCAAGCTGAGCTGTTGCTCAGCTCGGGTGGCAGGATGGCTCAGCTAAAAAACAAACAAAACCAATTCTTATTCTATACATCTGGGGTGGGGCCCAGGATCTGGGAGCCTTGCTGCTCCACATTCTGGTTCAGGAATTCGAGGAACCACACTTCGAAAATACTTTTCCTCTGGGGCTCCCTGGTATTGCTATAAATAGTAGCTACAGGATTGTAATATTTTTCTTTTAATTGCATTAAAGTTGTAAACCAACTAGTTATCAGCATTTTCTCAGAAATTATGGTCAAAGGCATAGCTTTTTAATTTATAAAGTTATTTGCAGACCACTTTTATGCTAAATTAATTTGCTTATATTGTTTACATACCCACAATTGTAAATACTGTGAATTAAGGAACAACTTTGCTTCAACTATAGGAGAATGCAAAAACACTCCAGGAGAGAAGCATTGCTTACATCAACTCAGATTCATCGATAGAAGGTAAATTTTATTTCAGATTGCTATGAAATAGAACCATCTTATAACTCTATAAATTCAAATTTGTAAACTACCTAAGATTATTTATTCTCTTCCTATGAGATACCTCAATACCTTTGTTTTCCATTTTACCACAGAGAAAATCATTATGATTCAAATGAATCAATATGATTCATAACTAAGCTATTGATCCTAATTTCTTTAGTATATTTACCATTTGCCTACCTTAGATTACTATTTACAGCTCTAGTATTAACCACATTCTTCCTGTGTAGATATTTAAAGAATTTGGCTAAACTATTTCATAAGAAATAGTTTACAGACTACTTTGTACAGAAATACTTTCTGTATTGGAACAAATTTGAAGTAAGCACAACTTGCAGACTTCCTTTTGAACCTGACATATGACATCTGTGTCTCTAGGCCTTCACTCTATTATCATGTCTAGATAAATGTCAGAACACACTAGCTACTGACGTGCTCTAGTCTAATGTCTTGATACAGTCTATATCATTGAGTCAATGAAGAAGGAATGAACGCTGTAGCCATACCACTTCCTTTGCCAAACTCCCCTAAGGGACACTGCCTTAAGAAGGACCCTTATGATACTATGGGAGCTGCGGGCTTAGCAGCCAGTCCACCTGTACCTTTCATAGAACGTGTGCTGCAGCCACGCTTGCTCCTGAAGAACTATTTCCACCCTATTTTTAATTCTCTGGGAATCATGCCTTTAATTTGAAGTCTATTATGTCTTATTTAATTCTAACTTTATTTTCTAGTTATAAACATAGATTGGAATTTCATTCGAAGTATTAAAATACTCTATGTGTTTTATTTTCCAGGAAATTATACTCTCAGAGTTGACTGTACACCCCTTCTTTACCAATTGGTGTATAAGCTGACAAAAGAGGTATGTAAGTCAATTGGTCTTAAGGTTTTCTGATGAATCGATAAGTGAATAACACGTTTCCTTAATTAGCAGTACGTACTTATTTTTAAACTGGTGACAGACATAGCTGATTTGTATAAATATTGGGTTGTCGGAAAAGTCATGGCACATGTTTGCAACAGATGGCACTAGTTCATTTTTGGAAGTACTTAGAGTCATTCGCTTCTATGTTATTGCTGACAGTTCTAGCTTCATTCTAAAAAACAATTGAGCAATTTGGTTGAGTTTGGAGCGTTTACAAGTTGAAGATGGAAGACAAAACTGTGCCTTTTTGCCATATTTTACTGTTTTACTTCCATAAAGGGAAGAATGCATGTCAAGCTTGTGAAAAGTTACATAAAGTTTACGGTGACAATGCTCAACAAGAATGTTACTGCCAACGATGGTTCATGAAATTCCATGCTGGTGATTTTGACCTCAACGACGCTCCTCAGTCAGTGAGGCCCACCGAGGTTGATGATGACAAAATAAAGGCATTGATTGAGTCCAACCCACATTACACGACACACGAGATTGCAGAAACATTGAACATCCATCATTCAAGCATTCATGATCACCTGAAGAAGCTAGAATACATAAGCAAGCTCGATATTTGGGTTCCGCATGAACTCAAAGAAGTTCATTTGACGGCACGTATAAACATCTGCAATATGCTCATTAAATGTGATGAAAATGATCCTTTTTTGAAGTGACTGATAACTGGTGATGAGAAGTGGATTGTTTACAACAATGTGGTGTGCAAACGGTCTTGGTCCCGACGTGATGATTCACCTCAAATGACATCGAAAGCAGACATTCATCAGCGGAAGGTTATGCTCTCAGTGTGGTGGGATTTTAAAGGTGTCATGTTTTTCGACCTCCTACCAAGGAACCAAACAATCAATTTGAAGTGTACTGTCGTCAATTGGACAGTTTGAACGAATCCATCATCCAGAAACGCCCAGAGCTTGTTAATTGTAAAGGAGCTGTGTTCCATCGTGACAACACGAGACCACACACAAGTTTGATCACCCGTCAAAAATTATTAGAGCTTGGATGGGATGTGGTGCCACACCCACCCCACTCACCTGACGTTGCGCCATCAGACTTCCACTTGTTTCGCTCTCTTCAAAACTCCTTGCATGGTATAACATTCAATTCAGATGAGGCTGTAAATCAGCACCTTGTTCAGTTTTTGGCCAATAAAGACAGGTCCTTCTATGAATGAGGAATTATGAAGCTCACTGAAAGATGGCAAAAGGTTATCGAACAAAACAGGCAATATATCATTGATCTTTGTTCTTTATATTTTTCAAAGGTCATTTATTTATATAGACAAAATACTTCATGACTTTTTCAACAACCCAATAACAAGTCAGAACAAAATCTCTAATACACTATTTATTTATGTGACATTGCAGTGAAGATAGTATTGCTAGTTTCTCTGTTCTAATAGTTGTTATGAACAGCTCTTATTGTGTACATTGTTGTAATGTATAGGGTATATCATTTCACCTGGCAGAAGCATCTTTTTTTTTTTTTTTTTAAGCTGAGCCATCCTGCCGCCTGTTGGCTGCTCAGCTCGGGCCAGGAATCAAACCGCTGTTGCTCAGAGCTCACTCTTGAGTGAGCTCTTAACCAACTGAGCCACTCCGCCAGCCCCGAGGCATTTTGATATAACAGAAAGAACACTGAACTGGAATGGAAAAACCTGGGTTTCAACAGGTATTTATTGAGTGGTTACTAGCTGTGAGGCCCTATAAAGTGAATTCCAGCAGCAACAATGATAAAATGACAAGGTCACTGAATCCAAATACTGTGTGTCATCTAGAGAGGATACAGACCTATAAATGAGGAATTATCACTCACTGGAATACTGGAGACTATATACAATAGAAAACAATAAGGGAGTAGAGAACCTAAAATCCTAGGTAGTTGAGTAAGTTGGGAAGCACCAGAGGATGTTTACAGAATAATGAATGCATGGGCTATAACATGGAAGGATGTGAAAGTAAGGGAGAAGGCAATCTAAGCAGAGAACGTAGTTCCCCAAAAGATGGGGAGATATGAAAGAACATATTTCCTGACCTGGAGCTATTAGGTTGGTGCAAATGTAATTGCGTTGTTTTTTTTTAAAGTACATTTGTTTTTGTTTTTGTTTAAAGATTTTATTGGGGAATCAAGGGAAGGGGAACAGACAAGTTGCTGTTGTTTTGTTCTTCAGTCTAGTTGTGGAGGATGTCGCTTCACTGGCCCAAGCTGGCACCATCATTGCACTCTTCCCGGGCGAGGCAGATTAGTTGCCAGCTGGACGGCTGCTCACAGCGGCTGCTGGCCACTCACGCTGGCTGCTGGCTACACAGAGTAGCTCATGGCAACCCACTGCAGCAGGGGACTGCAGCCCACGCCGTTGCCGGTGACTCCCGGCAGCCAAGCTCCAGGTTGAGCTGTTGTTCAGCATCTTAGCTGTAGAGGGCAGTGTCACTGGCCCTCATATGTGGGATCCAAACCAGGGTCCTCTGGCATCCCAAGCCAGTTCTTAACCAATGTGCCACTCGGCCGGCCCTAATTGCAGTTTTTTTATCATTATAAATAATGGCAAGAACCGCAATTACATTTGCACCAACCTAATATTCGGTATGACCTAAGCACAAAGTGTTGGTGGAAAGATGGTAAGAAATGGGGCATGACAAATAGGCCCAGGAGTTCATAAATCTGGTGACAAAGAAATTAATGAATCTTTAACGATGTTGTACATTATCGTATTTGTTCAATAGAAAGATCACTCTGTACAAGTGTGACTAGGTTAAGCTGTCGCAAGTCTAAAGGCAAAATGGAAATAATTCCACATGCTTACTTATCACACAGGCATATTATACATATTATTTATTGATATAAAGAGTACTCTGTAAACTTGCCCTCTGAGTCTCTAAAAAATCATATAATGTATTCATTTACTATCTGGGTACTTTCTTTAAACAGTTCCCTGTTATAAAATTTAATTATAGAAATGCTTCTGTCAAGTAGGCAGCCATCACTTAGATGACAGTGTGAAGTAATCACTTTTCTGGAGGTGCTATTTCCCAGTCCTTTTTAATTTTGCCTGCCTCTTTTACTGTTAGGCTCTTCAAAAATTAGTTCTCCCAAGTGGGAGTCCTCCATTATGCCCATCACAACTCTCTCGCTATATGAGTCAGATTATATCTTTGATGTGCTCATTGTAAGGCCCTATAGAAACATCTAAAAGCAAGCTGTAAATAAAACTGTATTGAGAGAACCCATCTCAGGATAAGCATTTATGCTCTGTGTGGTTCTCCAGAGCTGGCTCCTACCTGTGAGGTCAGGGATAATAAGACTTTCAGAGCCAGTAAGGGAGAAGTTCAGGGCAATGCCTCTGTACAAAGGCAGATGTTCATTTATGGCCATACCAAAACCCAGTAGAACAGGGACTGTTGTATTCTCCTGGAAACTGATTATTATAATTTTATCAACCCCTCATGTGTGTTGGCACAAATTATGCTGGTGACATGAGGGTAGGGAGAGGGTGGTGGAGAGGGTTAAGTGTAGAGAGAAGGGCAGCTGCCTGACAGAAGCAAGAAATGGACAAGGTATTGATATAATGGAGGAGGGACAGCTTTTATGATAATGCATAGACCTGAGACAGAAACGCCTGCTCATGGGTATCTGGGCCAAAGAGACACAGGTCTGGTTACTGCTAGACCGCGATGGCATGGTTCCAGAAAATGAAGAGGATTTTGCAGGGAATTCAATCCAAGCAGGATGTAGGAAGTGGAGCTGGATCTCAGCTACTGCAAATAGGCAGGAGCCAAGGAGGGAGTAGAACCCAGTCAGTTGTCTGGAAATGAGCAGAACACCCCTGCAGCTGCCAACAAGCTGGCAGGGAAGGGGTTGCTCTGGGGAGGGCCACGACTGTTTTTAAGCTGAGGACCTCCTATGTGATGATGAGGGAATAACCAACTTTGTAAAAAGGCCAGAGAAGATATCAGAGGAGATGTTTATGGTAAGATGGTGGGAAAAGTAGGGTTTAAAGATGAGAAAGCAATACATCAAAGGTTATAATACTTTCTGAGCTGCATAAGTAGGGTCTGTCTTGGGTCCACTTTTGAACAAAGCAGAGCTATAAATGAACAGTCAATATGTGTGATAATATGGTTCTAAAATAGACATGGTTAGACTCCACAGTCCACAAGTTTTCTACCATATGGTCCTGCTTTTCTTAAAGCGGAGAAAGAAAAGCAAAGTATAAGTTTGTAAGTATACTTTCAACAAGGGTAATAAAAAATGTTTATACACAGAAGCTCTTAAAAGTCTCAAGTAGAAATCTGAGGTTAAGTAGAGTTTTTGTAAACCCATCAAATTCCAACTTTGTTTAAATATAATCAGACTTTCTAAAAGAACCTCACGCCCCCATCCCCCCCCCCACCTTACAAAAACAGGATTTATATTGACAATTTCAACCTCAGCTTCATAAGCTAGATCTGCTGCCCTGAGGGCTTCTTTGCAGGTCTCCCTGGACAAAAGCAATTTACTAAAGTAAATATTATATCTATTTTCCCCCCAAATACTTCCCACTAAAAGAAATCTAAGCTGCCAAACATTAAAGTGATTACATTTATTAAAAATCTGAAACTCTATTTAAAAAATTTACCAAAATAAGCAGGAAACGTTATCCTAGGTATATGGCAAAATCACCAAGAGGTAGGCATCATAAACGAACAAGAATTTGGGCTGAATATTTTTCTTCCTATTCGCAAAAGCACACTTTTTTATGAAGAATAGGATGCACAAATGTACATATAGTTAGAAGTTGATGTTAACTACCATGTGGTTTTATGTTGGCATGAATTTAGTTGCTTCTGCCTCTAATTCCCAATATTTGATTTATCATTTCAGATCTCCAGCCCTGACGATGGTTTCGAGAGTAAATCTCTTTATGAAAGCTGGTTAGAAAAGGACCCTTCATCGGAAAATAAAAATTTTCCTAGGTAAATTATTTGTTTGTATATTTTCTACCACAGGATAAATGACGAATTTCCCTTTGCCCCTTGGTTGGCCAGACATGCAATTCTTAGATGCCTCATCAAGAATTGAAGGAATAGAGTCAGTGGAACTGTAACAGGTATATACAATGTCAGAGGGGAAGTAGATTGGAGGAGGGGGGGTGTTATCACTTCGTGAGGGGTATAAATGTCTAACATTGTTTTGTACACCTGAAACTAAAAAAAAAAAAAAGAATTGGAGTAAAGATAATCCTAAAGGATCCCTTTGTGCAGTCAGAACACCAAGTCTCTTAACCTATAATAGAGCAGATAGATCTAGTTTTACAAAATTTTAGTCAAAATTATTTTGCCACATTATTAGGTATTATTTTGCATTCTTGCAAAACATTGAATTGTATGTATTAAATACATTAATAGTTGATATAACTTCAAATGATAATGAAGTAAAAAACAAATGATGGATTATTTGCTTCTAAATTTATTAATGGGCATTATCGATAGCCACCAAATTATGTCTTTACCTATAATCAATTTAGATTTTATATAAGTATTAACTTACTTTTTTCTTCTTCTCGTTCATACAACAGAAGCTTTCCTGAATTTATTTTATATTTACTTTCTACTGCAATACTGTTTGTAAAACCAGCAGACGATGGTAGCAGTTTATGGCTTCATTCCATATTCCAAATACGCCTGTGAAACTTTAAATGTGTTTCCATTATAAAAGTTTCACATGCTTATTTAAAAAAAAGAAAAAAAAGATTTAAAAAGCATCCACTGTCTCAATCTCAAAAACGCCTCTAATAGTTTAGAAGTACATAGTTATATTCCTCATGCATATTGTAACTTTATAATCTGCTTTACCGACTCACCATATTATGGATTTTCCCAAGACATTACAATATATATAAAGTTTCTTGATTACATGAAAAGAAATATATTGTAATTAGATTTATTTTTGAAATAAAGCACATTTAGATTCTTCATGATCTTAAATACAGACTTTCTCATGCTCATTTTCTTACTAGACTATAATTCTCTGACTCCAGGGACCATATCTTGTTGTTTTCCCCTGTAAAGGAATACCATAAATGCAGAAAATATGGAAGAGAGCATAGTCACTAGGTTGCCATCTTTGTTGGCACTGCCAGTCTGGTTGTAGTAAATGCAGATTTAATAGATTTATCTCACCAATTTCTAGAAAATGACAGAAAAGTGCCTTGGGGCTGGTATACCTTTTTCTAATTCAATTATAAATGTGCCATGGAATTCCTTGCTATTCTTGGGACACGATTCATTGTCCCATCTATTTAACTTCATATTACTTATTTCTTCATTTCTCTCTCTGTCTCTCTCTCTCTCTCTGTCTGTCTCTCTCTCTCTCATATTCTGTATCTAGAATCAACAAGCTGGGATCTGGAAGTGATTTTGAAGCTTATTTTCAGAGACTTGGAATTGCTTCAGGCAGAGCCCGTTACACTAAAAATAGGGTAAGCCATTTTATTATTTTGGATACATGGTACCTCCTCCACATTCTTTTTATTAAACATTTTGTCATATAGTTATTTGGCTCAGGCACCTGGTAGACATGTGGCCTGTGAAGAATTTCAGGGACAAAGACAGATTGCACAACCCTTTGTAGATGGACTAGTTAGCAACTTGTGTTAGTTTGTGAATTTTCACTGCCAGGGTCATTCAATGAAGTGGTATTTACCAGAGTAATGACAGGGACTTAGCTGGTTGTCAGTACCAAGTAGTTCTCATCCTTTTCCTGAGGCAAATGTGCAGGTGGAGAATGTATTTTGGTTATGAGGAATGCTAAGCTAAGGTTGTTTATTGTTATAGCCCCTCTTCACATTCACATACTGCCTGTCATCTGTGTCCAGAGCTCTTGGGTAGGGAATAAAACAAGTTTCTCTTTATTGTTAACTCGATCCTGTTTTCTGTTCTGTGCTAACTGATTTGCACGATTGTTACTCAAACACATTGATGACATGCAAATGCCTGCATATGCCAACATATACCACGTTTGCTTGCTGATGTTATCAATTATGTCATAAACCAAAATGAACTCAGATTTGTCACAGATTTGAATAAGTTTCAAATCATAATGGCAATATACCAGCATCTTGCTTGTATGGAATATGCAGCCCTTGCAAATTTGACCATCCAGAATACAACTAATAGCAAAGTAAGCAAAAGCAGCTCCAAAATAAATGCATAAATCTGTATATTAATACTCATTACATTTAATACATAAAAGATGTGCTTCACCTCTTTCAAGGCCTGTTCACTTTTATACTCTATCATCACTCTGAACAAAAAGTTATGTAGCCTATAAGACAATGCAGATTAGAAGAATACTAGACAGGAGGAGAGACTGATACAGGGTTTCCTTTCAGTGATACTGAAAGTAAGAATGATAGCCTTATAGCAATGTAGAAGATAGGTAAAAATTAAAGCTAGGAAATGCAGACCTAAGAAGTAAAAAAATACTTATATAGAATACCACCATGTGATCATTTTTTTATAATCGTAGAACTTGTGTGCTTAAATACATAATCCTTTAACTATATAGATACTTAGCTGCCCAGACCTTTCATTCCCAATCAATTGATAGATCATTTTAAACTGTGCGGATATGAAATTGGAGTATGAACTCCTTATGGTCAGAAATACAATAAGGAAATTCTCAAGAAGCAGTATTTTGAATGAGGATTACATGAATTTTAAAATGAATAATGGTAAATTTTGAAATCACTGAAGATTTGGTGGTAGTATTTTAGTTAATGTTTTGGTTCATTGTGATATAACTCAAGGCGCCATATGGTTGTATTTTTTTCTGTAACCATTTTTATGATTATATAAAATATCATTTGAATATTTAATGTTCATCTGTACTTGGTTTCCCCCCCACACCTGTTTTTTTTTGTTGTTGTTGTTTTTTTAGAAAACAGATAAGTACAGCAACTACCCGGTATACCATACAATTTATGAGACCTTCGAATTAGTAGAGAATTTTTATGACCCCACATTTAAAAAACAGCTTTCTGTGGCTCAACTACGAGGAGCACTGGTTTATGAGCTTGCAGACTCTCCAGTCATTCCTTTCAATATTCAAGACTACGCAAAAGCTTTGAAAAACTATGCAACAAGTATCTCCAATTTATCCAAGAAACATGACCAACAATTGAGAGACTATGGAGTATCATTTGGTAAGAAATGACTGAGTAGGTGTTTTATAATCTTTCTTATCACCTATGCATACTATTTCATCGTAGAATTTATCCCTGCCTCATTAGTTCTGACTTCTAGAAAAAAACTTTAACATCTATTAAGAATGAGATGTAATTTGATACTTGTAGGATGAATGCATTTTGCTAAGATAGTGCTACAAACATTGGGTTTTCCCTATGTTGCGGCTTTTAAAAACACTTTTACTGTTGTAAGAACAATACTAGAAAAATGCAACATTACACAAAATTTGAAAACTAGAGAAAACCAATTCCACTACATATATCTTTTAGTGTTTGTCTACATGGAGGATCTTTTTACATAGCTTTAAGCATTCTTTCCTTGTATATCTGGTCATTTTGTGGTTGCTGTTCTATACCATGTATCGTCTACAAAACAGGGAGGACATACAGTGTAGTGTGGTGGCATTGAGCATTGGGTCTGGAAGCAGTTTCTGGTTCAAATCCTGGCTCTAATATAGTCAATGTGTGGCCTTGGGAAAGTTACTTAACCCATCTGTGTGTTAGTTTTCTTATGAGTGAAACAGTAAAAATAATATAACGTTTCCAAGATTGCTGTAGAGATTCAGTTTGTTGACACATAGAAACAATGGTGACTAACACTTATTGCTCATAAATGTTACCTATTATTACTGTAACCATTTTCTTGTATTATTCTGAGAGTATATATTCTTAGTATATACCAAAATTATCAAGTATGTACTGATTGTCTACTGTGTTATTTCCTGGGAGGTGTAAGAACGTTTAACATAGTCATTGTCCTCAAAGAGCTTAATGTCTCATGTGGGGAAGGAGAAGGCAAAATGCAAGGGACAAGTTATTACAGGGATACGCAGAGAATACCATAGGAGCACAGAGGCCAGTCATGGTTTTTGAATGTTATTATATAAGAACTAGTAATCTTCAGAAAGTTAATGATGAGCAGCAGGTAGTATGATCTGGAAATAAAATGAGGCAAATATAATTTAGAAAACTGTGTTTACATCGATGTGATGGGAGAATCTCTGCAATGATGGGGAAAATGAAGAGAGATGAAACTGGAGACATAGCAGGGCCTACCCAGCATCCAGTTCTCTTCCTAAACGCCCCAGTTTCCTTCTGGTGAAATTACCTTTTATAAATTTATGTAAGTCAGGGTCCAGTTGTGAGAGAAAACATGCAGTTACAGTGGAAGGACTCTGTATACAAGGTGAATTGATCCACCTGTTTACCTTCTAAAGAACCTACATCTCTATTGGTGACTCTCCACCAACTTTAAACATTCTTATGTGTTTTCTATCTTAAAAACATTTCTTCTACCTGATGTGCCCTACTTTTCAGTCGCTGAAAAAGAGCTTCAATGAAGGAATGAAAAAATGATGAATGGATGGATGGATGGATAATCTACACTCCCTGCCTCCACTTCTTTACCTCTCACTACCCAAACCACTGCACTGTCTCACGTTCCTACGACTTTACTGAAGTCGCTCTTGCCAAAGTTTCATTCACCTGTGTCACTAAATCCCAGGGACACATTGCGGTGCTTATCTGTCTTGATTTTTATGCTTCATTTGAAATTTAAAATTCTTTCTTCAACACTCTTTGTCCTTAACGCCCATAAGATCTATTAGTAGATTATTTGATTTGTACCTGGTTTAAAACAATAGCAACAACAATTAAAGTTTAAAGAATATCTAGGGCTAAAAAGACCTTGTTTCTTATATTGAATGTACTTACACTGAATGTACTATAGTATGTCCTCCAAAAACATTGTTTCATTCAGTGTAGTTTCAGTGTAACGTAGATAAAATGCCTTAGGAACGTAACTCTGGTTTCTATAAATTAGCCTATAGTAAAACTAGTTTTGTTAGACATGGTTTTGCTTCGAGTCACAGAACCTGTTGATGACATTGAGGACTTACTGTACTTATTAACAGTGTGAATTATATATGTCCCAGACGTTTGCAAGTTATTTCCTTTAGAACCAATTTAGCCATTTTCTATTTCCTACATTATTTCTTTGTTACAATATTTTCTAATAATTCCTATGGTTCTACAAAAAGGCTCAGGAGCAAAATGGTTTCAATATGTATTCAGTCACATCAGCCTGGACTGGGGAGAGCAGGAAAGCGAACCTCTGAACTATGAAGCACTTGTGCTTACTCATTTCCCTCCTACTTTTCTATTTTTAAAAAAGATTCCTTATTTTCTGCTGTGAAAAACTTCTCCGAGGCTGCCTTAGATTTTCATAGAAGACTTACAGAAGTTGATCTTAATAAGTAAGTTTCAAATATAAAGCTTCCTACTATTATAAAAGCAATTTGGTTACTAGAATGAACTGTGTACACTTATAAGCATTCAACTCTAAATCATTGGTACTCAAATTATGGTCTGCAAACTGGCAGCATCAGCCTTATTCTTATTTAATATTATTTTAAGATATGGCTCCATGGTAAGGGTCATAATTATCTGCTTCTTGTTCTCAAGTCCCATTGCAGTGAGAATCATGAATGACCAGTTGATGCTCCTGGAAAGAGCATTCATCGATCCCCTTGGTTTACCAGGGAGGCAGTTCTACAGGTAAGGAAGCAATAGGTGTTCCACTAAGAGACATGACATACCTCACTGTAACCAAAACCAGCATACCTGAAGTTGGCTTTAAACTATTGCCGTCAGATGAGTGGCAGGTAAATACCTGTACTGTTTTCCACCCGCGCGCGGTTGGGAGTTCTCAGATGAGGACAGCCAACTATATATGCGTTGATCTAGGCCATTTTATAAAAAGAACTGGAGCATCATGGATTTTGGTATCTGCAGGGGGTTCCCGGAACCATCCCCTGCAGATACTAAGGGTAGGTAAGTTTTGAGGAGTCAAAGTTATACATGGATATTTGAGTGTGTGGGGAGTGGCACCCTGAACGCCCCACGTTGTTCAAGAGTCAGCTGAAAACAGTTTTAGCCCTTCCTTCTCTGCTTCATAGTGTTCCATTTTATGGCTCATATGTATAATTTTTTAATTAGATTTTTTTTCCTCATTTACTATTATGAAAAGTACTGCCACAGGTGTCCCTGTATTTTACTTGAATGTTTTAATATCTTTATAATCAGTATCTGAGATTTCAGAGTCAAAGGATAAACATATTTTAAATTTAAGTGACAAACTGTCTTCTAAAAAGACTGCAATCTATTTTTAAAAATATATTTGGAGCTGTTAACCGGATATTTAAGACTATATTCTGAAGCCAGGGGAGAGGCAGGTTCAAGATTTGTGATTTAGTTCTCAAGATTTGTGAACTCAGTTCTTTCCATGAACACATTGAATCTATAGTTACATATGGAACACGTTACTCTGAAAACTAGCCACAATCAGGACAGAACTCACAAACCAGGAGCTTCTCCTTGAGAAGCAAAAGATTCATACCCCAAATTGGGCACCAACTATTAAGAAAGACCTGCATCTGAGAGATGACCCCTCAAAACACTTGGCTTTGAAAACCAATGGGGCTCACATGCATGAGACCCAAAGGACTGTAGCAAACAGAGAAATGTCTCTTCAACAACTCATGTGGACTCACTCGCCACAGGGCCCAGCACAGAAGAAGCCCTTTGAAAAGCGCCCAGATTTTATGTGAGAGAGATTCATTTGCTAATCTTAAACACTGCCCACAGAGGCAGGAGCCTGCTGGGACAGGCTGGTAGGTGCCATTTTCACTTCTCCCTTTGCCTTGCTAAAGCTGGCAGGTGTCATCTTTTATTTCCTTCTACTGGTGGATGCCATTTTCATGCTCTCCTGCCGAGCACCAGTATCTCCTAGAAGGGAGCTTTTATCTGCATCTAGTGCCCTGGATTTTACAGATGCTGCCCAGGGGAGTGCCCCTAGATGGTGTGGCTCTGTAGGCCATGGGGGTTTGTGTTCCTGGGTCCCACAGGACTGTAACAATCAGAGACACAGTTCTTGGCCTACCATCACCCCCCAGTCTTCCAGAGAAAGCCTATTTGCTTGTCGAGGAGCTTTGGCCTGAGATTCCTGTTTCTGGTCTGGCACTTCTCGAAGCCTAGAGAGTTGCTCTCAAGGACTGGAGGCCAGTGGAAGCAATCATGCTTTCCTTCTGCCTCACACTAGCTTGATTTATCTCCCAGAAAGAAGGTTACACCCTTGTCTGGCAACCCAATTTTTGCAGCTGCTACCAGGGGACACCTGTACCTTGTCTGGCTCTGGTAGCCAGTGGGGCTTATGCTCACAGGTCCCATAGGACTGTAACCAACAGAGAAAAAGTTCTTAAACAGCTACCACCCTCACTGTACAAGGGACAATAGACCCAGGAGCTCAGTCTTCCAGTGAAAGAGGTCTATAAGTACATCATCATATTTACAGCCTGAGGGACATGTTTGCAATTAAAGACACATCTAAGGGCTAGCTGTAAATGTTACCAGACATGTTGGAGGGCTGGCATTGTCTTTGTGCTCCGCCTCTGTTGTGTTGCTAAGTTGCTAAGTATCTCTTAGAGAATGCTCTTATACTTGTCGGGTGCCCCAGTTTTTGAAGCTGCCCCCAACTCCCAATTAAAGACAAAGAATCTTAACAGCAGCAAGACAAAACAACTTGTTAAATACAAGGGAAGCCCCGTAACTCTATCAGCAGATTTTCAGCAGAAACTTTGCAGTCCAGAAGATAGTAGCACAATATATTCAAAATTCTAGGAAAGAAAAAACAACAAAAAACCCTTCCAACCAAGATACTCTCCCTAGCAAGGTTAGCATTCAGAATTGAAGGAGAAACAGTGCTCCAGACAAGCAAAAACTAAAGGACTTCGCCACCAAACTAATTGTTCAAGAAATAGTAAAGGGAGTTCTTCAAGCTGAAAAGTAAAAGGGCTAAATAGTAACAAGAAAATATATGAAAGTGTAAATCTCACTGGCAAAGGCAAATATATAGTATAGGCAATAAATTAATCACAAAGCTAGAATGAATGTAGGTTATAAGACAAAAGTAGTAAAAATAACTGAATAATAAAGGATATACAAGACAAAAAGTGGTAATATGTGACATCAAAAACATAAAACCTATGGGGGGAGGGGCATGGGAGAGCATTCAAATTTGTTTTCAACTTTATATAGACTTTTATAAGTGTAAATTGTCATGTAAGCCTCATGGTAACCACAAAGCAAAAACCTATAGTAGATACACAAATGCTGAGAAGGAACTCTAAGCATATCACTAAATCAAGTCATCAAACCACAATAGAAGCAAGAGAAGAGAGGAACTGCAAAGCAGGCAGCAACCAATTGACAGTATGGCAATAATTACTGTAAGTTGACTAAATTCTCCAATCAAAAGACAAAGTGCTGAAAGGATAAAAAATATAAGACCCATGTGTATGCTGCCAACAAGAGACTCACTTCTAATGTAAGGACACACACAGACTGTAAAGTGAAGGGATGGAAAAAGACATACCAAAAGAAATGGAGTGGCTGGACTTATATCAGACAAAATAGACCAAGTCAAAAGGAAGACACAAAGCAGGACACTATATAATAATTAAAGCGTCAATATATATATGAAAAATAACCATAATCTATATGCACTCAACATAGAAGCCCCTAAATATATAAAGCAAGTAAAGGGAGAAATAGTATTACAATAATAGTAGAGAACTTCAAGACCACACTTACATAAATGGACAGATCATCTAGACAGAAAATCAGTAGGAAAACATCGGCTTTAAATGCATTAGACTAGATGAACTTTAAATAATATATACAGAACATTCCATTCAAAGCAACAGAAAACATTTTTCTCAAGTACACATAAAACATTCTCACAGATCATATATTGGGCCACTTAACAAGTTTAACATATTTAAGAAGATTGAAATCATATCAAGCAAATTTCCTGACTACAATTGTATGAAATTAAAAATCAATTACAAGAGGGCCGGCCGAGTGGCGCGATGGTTAAGAACTCGCTTGGGATGCCAGAGGGCCCCGGTTCGGATCCCACATATGAGGGCCAGTGACACTGCCCTCCACAGCTAAGATGCTGAACAACAGCTCAACCTGGAGCTGGGCTGCTGTGAGTCGCCGGCGACGGCGTGGGCTGCAGCCCCTGTGGCAGTGGGTTGCCATGGGCTACCGTGTGTGGCCAGCAGCCAGCGTGAGCGGCCAGCAGCCGCAGTGAGCGGCCGTCCAGAAGCCGGCGACTGATCTGCCTCGCCAGAGAAGAGCGCAATGATGGTGCCAACTTGGGCCAGTGAAGCAGCGTCCTCCACAACTAGACTGAAGAACAAAACGACAGCAACTTGTCTGTTCCCCTTTCCCCAATTCCCCAGCACTGTTCCCATCCCCCCAATTCCCCAATAAAAAAATCTTTAAAAAAAAATCAATTACAAGAAAACTATAAAATTCACAATTATGTGGAGAATAAAAAACATGCTAGTTCACTTATTTAACTTACCACAATACACTCTAGATCCTTCCATGTTGTCACAAATGGAAAGATTTCACTCTATTGCTGCATAATATTTTGTGTGTGTGTGTGTATAACATTTCTTTATCCATTTATCGATGGACACGTAGGTTGCTTCCATATCTGGGCTATTGTAAACAAGGCTACAGTGAACACAGGGGTGCATATATCTTTTCAAATTAGTGTTTTCATTTTCTTTGGATAAATACCCAGAAGTGGGATTGTTGGGTAGTATGTTGTATCTACTTTTAGTTTTTTGAGGAATTTCCATGTTCCCATAGGGGCTGCACCAGTTTTCAGTCTCACCAACAGTGCACAAAACTTCCTTTTTCTCCATGTCCTTGCCAACACATTATTTGTTTACTTTTTGATAATAGCCATTCTGACAGATGTGAGATGATATCTCACTGTGTTTTGATTTGCATTTCCCTGATGATTAATGATGTGTTTAGCATCTTTTCATATGTCTGTTGGCCATTTGTATGTCTTCTTTGGAGAAATGTCTTTATTATGCTAAGTGAAATAAGTCAAGCAGAGAAAGGTGGATACTGTCTGGTTTTACTTCTATGTGCAATCTAAAAACAATAAAACAAAACAAAAACAGACTTGTAGAAACAGAGACCAAAGGAATGGTAACCAGAAGGGTGGGGGAATGGGTGAAAACGAGAAGAGGAATATAGTCAATAATGTGACAAGTTTGCATGGTGACAGATGATTGCTAGAATTAGTGGAATTATCACATTGTAAGGTATAAAAATGTCAAATCACTGTCTTGTACATCTGAAACTAACATAAGCAATATAAGATTGTATACCAACTATATTTAAATAAAAAATAATTTAAAAAGTAAAATGTACCACAGGGACAATAAAAAAAACCCACTATGCTACTGAACTAATGGGCCAATGAAGAAATCAAAAGACAAATAAAAAAATACCTTGGGACAAATAAAAATGGAAATATAACATGCCAAAATCTCTGGCATGCAGCAAAAGTGGTTTTAAGAGGGAAGTTCATCGTGCTAAATGCCTACCTCAAAAAAGAAGAAAAATCTCACACAATCTAACATTACACCACAAGGAACTAAACAGAATAACGAAGCCCAAAGTGAGTA